AAGATATGACGTGATCCTGCCCGTGTACCAAATGCACGACTCGACACATGCATGCAGAGTACAGCGGGATGGTAAGCGACGGATGGCGTTAGGCCACGTCTGAGCCGTAGACCACGACCGCCGAGCCGCGCCACGGGTGCCGGTTAAAACGTGCGCTGAAACGCACCAGTGCTAGACAAGTCCGGCGCAGCACATTCTGGCTTCCGGTTCCTGGGCTCGATGGGCTTCGGTGACTGACGCGGATTCATGCATCCCCCGTAGTCTGTGATTGTCTGTGCTGTGGGCTGAGACCACGTCGAGTCGAATTCAGACGCCCGGAAACCAGAACCCGGCGCCCAGCATCAGCGCACACCCAGCGTTGCAGTTGTGGTTTGCGGACGTGCCGAGGTATGCAGAGTACGCTTGCGCTCGGACCCAACCCAGCGGTGGCCGGTGGCTGACAGGCACCATAGTAGATTACAGATTACGCGGGGTGTGTGTGCCGTGTCGGCCGCGTCGCGCGCTTAAACGTTGCCTAAACCTTGACAGAGCTCGGGTTCGGCTGTCCGTTATCAATTTCCCGTGAAACGGCCACGGCCACTACGGCTGCCACTCATTCTGCATAACGTGTGCACAGTTACCGGCGACCACCGTTCGCACGGCGAGCTCCGATGGTATCACACCGTCTGACTACGCCCGGGGGGGCATGCACGGCGCGCCCTGCACAGCGCCGGCTTCTGCCCGCCCCCCTGCTGCAGAAGCCCGAGGAAGACCAAGGGTCCGCCAGATATGAGATACCCACGTGCAGCCCTTTGTGCATAAGGGACCGTGTGCACTGGGGGCTGGGCCAACCGGGGACCAGCTGCGGCGCTGCCCAGATCCCCAGCTTCGATGCATGGCAGTGGCAGTGGAGTGAGCCAGTGATCGCACGATTGCAAAGGTAGGTCCGAAATTCCGATGGGTGCAGCGACAGCCGTGTCGAAAAATTTGATCCCGCCCGCATGCAGACCGCAATACGACTGGTCACCGTTCCACCGATCCACCCACACGCGCGTACAATGGTACTCGAAGTTATGAGCACGCCATACGCGTCGACGGAAGCAAATCTGAAATGGGCGCTCTCCACGTTAAGTCCCTTGCACCCTACCTTCGGCTCATGGCGCTGAGGTACCACCCACCCCCTAGGGCCTTGCTCGTAGGGTAGGTTTTCTTAAAATCCTGGCCTTTTTCTTTCTCTTCCCAACCTCTTCCCTCTCAAACCTCCTCCAAAACTCACAAAAATGACTGCGACCACCAACGGCAACGGCCCCAACCACCACCTCGCCCCCGGCCAGTGAGTACAACGGCGTGCTGAGAGCTCGCTTCGTCGCCGGCGCTCCCCCAGACAGCCCGCGGCGGACGCCAGCCGCCGAGTCGGAGTACCCGAGCGGAGCTACATTCCGACTCTTTCTGGGATGGTGCCAGCTCGACGCACGTTTTTTCGCAGTCCGAAGTCTTCAAATCGCTGACAGGCAGCTTCCTCTTCACCTCCGAGTCGGTCGGTGAGGGCCACCCCGACAAGATCTGTGACCAGGTCTCGGACGCCATCCTCGATGCTTGTCTTGCTGAGGTGAGTCGATGATTTGTGGGGTCGAATGGCCCGTGCGCTGGAACTTTGTAGCTGACTTTGCCCAGGACCCCAACTCCAAGGTCGCTTGTGAGACCGCCGCCAAGACCGGTATGATCATGGTCTTCGGTGAGATCACCACCAAGGCCAAGATCGACTACCAGAAGGTCATCCGTGACACCATCCAGAAGATCGGCTACGACGACTCTGAGAAGGGCTTCGACTACAAGACCTGCAACGTCCTTGTCGCCATTGAGCAGCAGTCGCCCGACATTGCCCAGGGTCTCGACCACGGTGACCTTGAGAACCACGGTGCCGGTGACCAGGGTATCATGTTCGGCTACGCCACCGACGAGACCCCCGAGTACATGCCCCTCACCATCATGCTTGCCCACAAGCTCAACAAGGCCATGGCCGACGCCCGCCGTGACGGCTCCATGGGCTGGCTCCGCCCCGACTCCAAGACCCAGGTCACCGTCGAGTACAAGAAAGACGACAACGGACACCTCCACCCCCTCCGTGTCGACACCATCGTTATCTCAACCCAGCACGCCGAGGAGATCACCACCGAGGACCTCCGCCAGCAGATTGAGGAGAAGATCATCAAGAAGGTCATCCCCAAGGACCTCCTTGACGAGAACGTCGTCCTCCACATCCAGCCCTCTGGCCGCTTCGTCATCGGTGGTCCCCAGGGTGACGCTGGTCTTACCGGCCGTAAGATCATTGTCGACACCTACGGCGGTTGGGGTGCCCACGGCGGTGGTGCCTTCTCGGGCAAGGACTTCTCCAAGGTCGACCGCTCGGCTGCCTACACTGCCCGCTGGATCGCCAAGTCGCTCGTCGCCGCTGGCCTCGCCAAGCGCTGTCTCGTCCAGCTCTCGTACGCCATCGGTGTCGCTGAGCCCCTCTCCATCTTCGTCGACACCTACGGCACCGGCAAGAAGACCGACCTCGAGCTCGTCGACATCATCCGCAACAACTGGGACCTCCGCCCCGGTGTCATTGTCAAGGAGCTCGACCTCCAGAAGCCCATCTACCGCCAGACCGCCGCCTACGGCCACTTCGGCAACCCCGAGTACAACTGGGAGAAGCCTAAGCAGCTCAAGCTCTAAGCTGGTAGCTGTTTGTCTTCCCAAACGTTATAATCTAGTAGTTTAGGCATCTGAACCCCAGCCCCCCACACACCTCACATCTTCACCTCCGACCATCGGGACGCCCTTGAGCTCAAGGGCCCCCGCGTGAGTTCCACCTCGCGCGCTCTCATCCTCCTCCTCATATCACCATACCCACGCATATATCATTCCCTCGGACAGTTACCCCACAACACACCTTCACCCTGGCCCCGCGGCCAAGTGGTGTATACCCCCGGACGATCCCCGCGCTTTTATAGACTTTAGGTGGCGCGGGCCCCGGTTCATATCACGGTACTTCATATGAAAGGCTTCAACCGCCACGAGTTTTTGGTTGCAGGTGCACTATACTGATTTACTACTGACGTAAGCGAAGCTGATGGCGCACAGGATCGCCCCGAAGATGCCAATGAGCTCGGAGAAGCAAGGACAGAAGCGAGGAAGGACATGTGCTGTGCCGAGAAGCCGGCGACCTTCGCGGGCTGCGAGCTGGAATCGTGGTTCTGCCGACGCCCACCTGTCTGGGCTGGTGGGGTTCTTCAAGTGTGCCACAGAAGGCAGCTGTGTCAGACAAGTCACGGGCTCCATCTGCTGCGGTCGCGGATCGACACCCGATCAACACTAGAAACAGTCTCAGCACTGTCACGACTTCACAAACAATCGAGGTCGACTGCAGGTTGCAACAGCATGCATCACCGTGTCACCACGAACTGCCCACGAACGCACACTCGGTCATACTGACCAACAGACCGATTTGACTCACACATCTGTACTCGTTCTGCAGCGCATCGCCCACCCGACCTCGTGTACTCGCGCCCTTCGCGCCGCTGCCATGCCGGCGTTAAGGCTTCCCACTCGATCCCCCGGGGCGCAAGAATGTCGCGCTGGACTGCACTGTCTCAATCTTGTCACTTCACCTTGTCTCTTCTCGCCATCGCCCACTTCTCCTGCTCGCGTTTGTCCACACTGCCAGCGCTAGATCGCCCCGCTATTCGGTATTGGCCCTCTCGGTGGCAGTGCAGAGCGGTGAGTCCCTCTCCCCACCCCTTCCACGACTTCACAGGCTGCCTTTGCATGAGTTGCTGGCGTGACCTTACAGCCCTCCAGTTCCAGCAGTGCAAGCAGTGCAAGCAGTGCAAGCAGTGCGCAGCGGAGGTGTCAAGGGAGAAGGGGGGCGCAACACGGAACCAAAGTGGCACATCCTCGTGGCAACGTTCACGGGGCCAGCTTCGGTAGCGCGCGATCAGAAAGCTGACACTCAGACCGCCGCTGTAGTCCACTCTCCAACAGATCCTCCTTGCGCACGGCATGCAGTCCCCTTCTGGATCTGGGGACATTTGTGCAACACGCGACTGTGGGGGGGATGTATGGTTCAGTGGCAAGGACTGGCCAATTGCGGTGGCACTTGTAAGCTTTCTTTGTCGCTTGTCTGAGCTAACGACAGACTCTGCGGTGAGCTTCTTCATCGACGTAGCTGACTCCCAGTATGCAGTATGAGGGTGAGCTGTGCTGTTGCTTCGTTCGAGCTGATCGCCAGAGGGAGGTGAGCTGATCCGCACGCGCTTAGCTGACACCAGGACCCCGAGAGATGGTGTAGGTGAGCTATGGGCTTCGGTATGAGCTAACCTCAGTCAGAAGAGGGTAAGCTTGGGCATCGTTATTGTACTAGCTGACTCCAGGTTGCTGTTTGCGTGAGCTAAGAACGTGCTTCACGGTAGCTGATCGCCAGCTCGAGGGTAAGCTGACAGGAGCTTGCATTGAGCTGATAGCAGGCAAGTGTAGGTGAGCTACCGAGACTGGGACCAGCTGATGACAGACGGTAAGCTGGTGCGTAGATTGAGAGAAAGCTGACTCCAGATCACTGCTTGGGTGAGCTAGCGAAACGCATCACTTGTAGCTGATTGCCAGTTTGATTGTGAGCTGGATCAGGCCTAAGGAGAAGCTGACAGCAGATCAACAAAGGTGGGCTTACCAATCGGGGGAGTAGCTGATGGCGGACGGTAAGCTGGCGCGAAGTCGGAGCTAAGCTGACTCCAGGTTAGTGCCTGGGTGAGCTCGGAACCCATGTCACTTGTAGCTAATTGCCAGCTCGAGGGTAAGCTACTTAAAGTCTGAAGAGAAGCTGACAGCAGGTGAACGAGCGTGAGCTTTGGATTGCTCGGAATAGCTGATGACAGACGGCAGGCGGGGGCAGTGAGCTTTGAGATGTTTTTCATGTAGCTAAGCTTGGAGGTAAGCTAGAGCGGACTCCAAGCCTGGTGAGCTAACAACAGGGAGACGACAATGGAGCGTCAATATGGAAAGTAGCTGAAGGCGGACGGTAAGCTCGTGTGGAGATGTACTTAAGCTGACGCCAGGTTGGTTCTCTGGGTGAGCTGGAGTGCCATGGCACGCGTAGCTGATCACCAGTTCGAGGGTAAGCTATGCGAGCAGCAGGGGAAGCTGACCGCAGGGTAACGGGAAAGGCTGTCAATCTGGAAAGGAGGCGACAGCAAACGGTAAGCTACCAGAGAGCCGCGCGCTAAGCTGACTCCAGGTTGGTGCTTGGGTAAGCTTCGAAGATTCTGTCCTGTGGCTGATCATCAGACCACGAGTAAGCTTATAGCAGCGAGGGGTTGATGAGCTGACAACACAGGGAACAGAGGTACGCCGATACATCAACGCCGATAGCTGACAACAAATCAAGAAGGTTAGCTGTGAGTGCTTGCATCGTTAAGCTGACTTCAGAGATGGACCGTGAGCTGCCCAAACGATTCAGCAGCTGATCGCCAGTGCGCATGGTGGGTCTCCCGGAACCCTTAGAGCTTGAAGCAGCGTATGAAGATCCGCTTGAAAGACCCCAGCGTTTGCTGACAGCAGGCTGGAGAGCGGGAGCTCAGCTCACGTCCGTAAAGCTGACTCCAGGCCAAACTGCAGGTCGATGAGTTTATTCATGTGAAGTACCAGTCCTTAGGTACGCTGAATGCGACCTGCGCTGTAGCTGACAGCAGGCAAGCCAATGTCAGCTAAGGTGAAGTCGCGAATAGCTGACCACAGACGGTATGCCGCTGTACAAACACGCCACAGAGCAAGCTGAATTTCGGCTGGTAAGCTTACCAGGCCGTTTGCTTTGAAGCTGATCAGCAGCTCGAGGGAGAGGGAAAGCTGAATGGACGTAAGTGGCTGACAGGAGGAGAACGAAAGGTGAGCTGAAGGATTGCGCTTTGATAAGCTGTAAGTACGTCGCAGGCACAGCCGACTACCAACTCGAGAGGAAGCCGTACGCGTTGGAGCTGACAACAGGGATAGATGTATGCTACCGCACTTGCCTGCTTAGCTGACAACAGGCAGGAGAGCGTGAGCTATGCGATAGTTCGCCGAGCTAACAACAGGCTGTACCATAGGTAAGCTGTGAGAGCTGCCACCCCCTAGCTGAACGCCAGGCCGTTAGATATGCTCTAGCAACGAGAAGTTGAGCCTGTGCCCAGTCAAGAATGGCAAGATATGCGATTCGCTGGCGTAGCTGAATGCAGACAGTCAACTATGTGGCGCCGAGGCTACAAGAAGCCAACTCCGGTTGGTGGGACAGGTGAGCTATCAAGGTTCGCCAGAATCAGCTAATTGTCAGCCTTCAGGTATGCTGACTTAGCCCGGTAGAGCTGACTTCAGCCTGTGAGCCGGTGAGCCTTGGCTGAGAGCTGAGATTCGGGCGTGGAACCAGTATGCTTGATGGACCCCATCCAAGCTGACGTCAGACCAATGCGTGATTCATGCAGTCCGAGGAGTCAGCGAGGGAGACAGAATGCGCTGCAGATATGCAGCATGGAGCTGGCGGCAACCAACAAGCTGAGTAGGCTGTCTCTGATCAAGCTGACGACAGGCGGTAGAAAGACCCACTGCTGCCTGCTGTGAGCTGACCCATCACAACCGTAAGCTGCCCACTGATGCGCTATGTAAGCTGCTATGCCGTTAGTGTCAGCTGACTCCAGATTGCAGTGCGAGCTACAAAGTTTCCTAGGCTGTAGGCTTAGGACGTAAGCTTCTTGGATGAGCCGATGACAGTCAGAGGATCGACCTGAAAGTTCGAAATATGGAGAAAAGTCAGCCGCGATAAAGGGACTAATTGGCCGAGATCGGTGAGTTGTCCCACTCATTGTTCCAGCTATCAGGCCGGTCAAGCCGTAGCTGATTTCCCAGCGTGATCTCTAATGGGAGACGTCCACAACCGCTTCGCATGTGCAAGGAAGTCAGTGAGACATCTCCCTCTGCAAAGGTAACCTTAGTTCCCATTTTGTTGCGGTTGACCGAGGTCGAGTGCAAACCAGTGGACTGTGGATGGCTTGATGACTGGTCAGGAGGCCGATCGCAGGCATGCCTACGTTCCTAACAAATTATGCAGCTTCACTAGCCGTCAGCTAACATCACACTCATGAAGCTGAGACTGACCGGCAAACAGCATGTTCCCAGCTCCAGTCGGCATCAGCTGGTCAGAGGTTCGGCGGCAGTCTCAACGTCATCTGCTTTGCCTGATGAGTATCTCTATGTAAGCTGGACTACGTCCTTCCAAGCTGACCCCTAGACTCCACCACACACCCTTGCCAAAAACCTCTGTACATCATTCATGTCATCGCTACTCGCTACTGCTGACTACTCGTCGCGCTTAGGGGAACGAGACCTGGCCCTTGAAGTCGGCCGAGAGGGAGTTGCCAGAGTCCTTCTTGGTCTGGAACTGGCCCTCGCCGGCGGTACCCTGGAGCTGGCCAGAGCCGGACTGAGGGAACCAGACCCACTCGGACTTGAACTGGCCGTCCTTGGCCTCACCGCGCTCACGGATCATGATGGCACCCTCCTTGCCCTTGATCGTGCCCTCGAAGAGGATCTGGCCGTCTGGTATGTCAGTGAGTGGTCTTACAGGCCGACAACACTCCTCTACCTGTACCATACACTGTGCAGGCTGAGAGGCGATGGAGCTACTGACCGTAGGCGAAGTGGTCGGTGCCGTCACGCTTGGGCTCGCCGTCGTCGTTCTTGTTGGGGATGTAGGTGATGACGTACGAGCCGCATCCCTTGCCCTTCATGTCGTCCGAGTTGAACTCGTAGTCGGCGCCAGCGGTGTCGTGGTTGACGGCGTGGGCATGCTGCGAAGGGGTGACCTTCCAGGGCTTGGAGGTGAACTTGATGGAGACTGGAGGGTTAGCCCAACTCTACTCGTGGCCAGGGGCGGACCTCGATGTGTCCTCCGAGACCGAGGCCGTGGTCGGACTCACTGTTCTGGGACATTGCGGCTGAGTTTTCTTGGGTGGAAGTAAGGTGGGGAGGGCGGTCATGAGACCCAGGCGTGCATTTATATGGGAGCTTGCGAGCTCGCTGCCATCTCGTCATCGCAAAGCCTCCAGCAAAGCTCCGGCAAAGCTCCAGTCAGGCTCCAGCCAGGCGCTTGCCCGAGGCTATGACATCGTTGATCGTGATGCACGTATCGCAGGAACCCGGCCCGGGTTTCCGCGAGGCTCGATGAGGCTCGGTCAGCTTCTGTGAGCCTGGGTGGGAGTGTGATGCAAGGTACGCATGGGAGGCTCGGTGATGGGAACTGGTGATGATGGAAAGGTACCTGCCCCGTCCATCGTGTTCCATGTCCTACGAGCGGCCACAGTCGGCCCAGGTCCACTGCTCGTTCCTGGCTTTCATTATGCCACAAGCGAAGAGCAAGCGCCTGCCAGCCTGCAATACTCAGAGTTCGGTCATGACTTCGGTCAGTGTCAACACGTGAATGGACACCTCACGGCAGTCCGTTTCGTCCTGTGAGTACTGCAGGCAATGCGAGGCTCCCCCAGACCACACCCAGGCTGGCGAGGATGGGCACCCTCGGTCATCCTCTCGGAGACCCCCCGTCCATCCGTTTCGCTTGCGACGAAGTGACGTATGGTGAGCAACAGTGTGCTGTATATAAACACACGCGCTTGCTTTCACTGGTCCGTGCTTGCTGGACCCTGCTCGAAGTCTATCTTTGCGCCGAGCGCGCCGAACGGCCCGCGATCAACCCCGAGAGCTCGAAGCAATCTCCGATAGGCGTTCAGCCACGAGCGTCCCGCACCGCTCCACTTGCTCAAAACACATCACAACTACTCACGCGAGACTCATGCAGCGGACTCACGTGCAACAGCTCCCCTCGGCGTCTTGACACCCATACCAGGAGCAATTCGACGGATTGCCATGCGCAGCGATCGAAAACCCACCACACGAAGCGGCAGCCTACGTGGGCCATAATCCAGCTCCGTCCGTCTCGAAATGGAGTGGCTACCTGAAACGGATCATGGCATCCTACCTGCACCCTGTTTCCCACCGGACCCGCATCGACGTCACTTCTTCGTCTCTCCCCCGTTCCTGGCTCAGACTTATGGCAGCCTTGTCTCGGCGCTGCGGTGCTGAGGACCATGTTGATCCTAGAACCGAGACCTCCGCGACAAAGAGTCTGGAGAGACGGCGAAGCTCAACCTCGGACCTGGCCGGCCGGCTATCTGGCTATCGCACTTGAACTCACGCCAAACGCCAAATTGAGAGGTGCATCTAGCTCATCTGGGAACTGATCTGACTGCATGCGCACAACTCTAACAGTGCAGGCCTGTCAACTATGCACAGATGTTGCGATCCCAGGCCGATTGAGGGGACGGAGTTCAGTGCCGAGGTTGACGCTTGTCTGGGCTATTTGGCTATCGGGGATCACCGACGTCACCGCCCCCGCATTCCTCATGACCTCACGCTGATTTCGCGCCGGCCGTAGCCCACCTGCCCCCACCCACACTTACGTTGCGATCGACTATCTCTATTCCGTCTGGTTCTCAGAAGTCTCCGACGTCGACAGTTCCTCGCAATCCTCAAAAGCACACCTCACCCCCCTGCGACTCCGGCCCGAATGTCATCGCTACCCTTGTTCAAGGCCTCCGATCAAGACGACGCCATGTCGGAGAAGCAACAACAGCCCCAGGAAGCCCACGGGCACGACGAAACGCTGCGGCAGCCGTATGCGCTCGGCGTGCGACCGGGACAGCCCAGCCAGCGCGAGCGCCGGTCTCGCTGGGTGCTTGTCGGCTTTGTGGTTCTCGCGATTCTGGCAGGCATCCACCTCTCCTCGCCTCACGGCCTGACCGGCTGCTTGCACGCGCCGTTCCGCTCCCACTCTTCCCATCACGGCCACCACGGCCACCACGGTCACCACCACGGGCACGGACACGCGCTGAAGGCCAAGAACATTGGCGGCAAGTCGCCCAGCTGTCCCGCGCAGCCGGACCCGATTGAGCCCGAGACAAAGGTCGACTGGACCGAGGAGCGCAAGAAGCACAGCGCGGAACTGCACGCGCAGGCGGTGCAGCACGCGACGCAGAGCTACGACGATAACGGCGAGCCCGGCGAGGATCCGCGTTGGGAGCCGTTCCACGATTTCCTTGATTGGTGGAGGGACGCGTTCCCGACTGCGGTCGAGAGGGCCAACATCGAGATGATCAATAGTGAGTGTGCTGAGCAGCCGTCGGGCTGCGAGGCTGGCGTGAGGTTGGCCGTTCAAACCCTTGGCTCTCTTTCTGGAAATTGGCTTGGGGTGCAACGGGAAGGAAAGAGAGAGAGAAACAGGACGTTCCCGCTGACACCCAGCCCTCGGCATCCTGGCCACGTTCGAGGGCAGCGAGCCCGACCTCAAGCCCCTGGTGCTCATGTCGCACTACGACGTGACGCCCGCGCCCGAGAACACGTGGGACCGGTGGACCTACCCTCCCTTCAGCGGGCACAACGACGGGACGTACATCTGGGGCCGGGGGGCGGCGGACGACAAGTCCCTCTTCGTGGCCGAGTGGGAGGCCGTGACGTACCTGCTCGAATCGGGGTGGACTCCCCGGCGCACGCTGATCCTCTCGCACGGCTTTGACGAGGAGGAAGTTCACGCGCGCAGGGGCCAGGGCCACATCGCGCCCTTCCTTGAGGAACGATACGGGAAGGACTCGCTGCTGATGGTGGTGGACGAGGGAAGCGGGCTGCAGGACGACTTCTTCGGCGCGCCCTTCGCGCTCCCCGCCATGGGCGAGAAGGGATACCTCGACGTGCGCATCAGTGTCGGCACCGACGGCGGGCACAGCTCCATGCCCCCAAAACACACCGGTATCGGCATTTTGTCCGAGATTGTCGTCGCGCTCGAGAAACAGCCCTTCCCCGTGAAACTGACCGAGCGCTCACCCTTCCTGACCACGCTCGCTTGCGGGGCCGCGTACGCGCCCAAGTTCCCCAAGGAGTGGAAGAAGCTCCTGAAGCAGGGGCCAAAGGGGTGGGAGAAGCTCGGAAAGGGCCTCGCGGCGAAGGACAAGATGCACGCCGCGCTGCTGCACACGACACAGGCCGTCGATGTCTTCCACGGCGGGGCCAAGGTCAATTCCCTCCCCGAGCTGTCTGAGGTGGAGATCAACTACCGCATCGACTTTGACGAGTCTGTTGAGAGCACACAGAAGCATATTGAGAAGATTGCGCGCAAGGTTGCCAAGGAACACGACCTCAAGCTCGACGCGTGGCCCCAGAATGCGACTACCGCCAGCGGTAAGGTCACGCTCAGCATGATCGGCAAGGCACTCGAGCCCGCGCCAACACGCCCGCCCATGGTGGGATCTGGGACACGTTTGCGGGCACCGTCCGCGCCGTCTTCCAGCCGCCCAAGGGTAAGGAGCTCATTGTTGCGCCGTTTGCGACCACAGGCAACACCGACTGCAAGATGTACTACAACCTCACCAAGAACGTGTACCGCTTCATGGGCCTGCGCATGGATGACATTTACGGCATTCACACGATCGACGAGCACTCCAGCATCAAGGGACACCGCGACATTGTCGACTTTATGCACGCGCTGATCCAGAACGCCGACGCCTATGACGGCAAGGAGTAAAAGAGTCCAGGCTATTAGTACATTGGCTTTGTATCTATCTAGAGTTGAATAAGAATGAAATGATCTGGGCAGTCGTCAAGTCATGTTACGCCTCGCCGTAGTCCGCCTCCGGGACGTAGGTCCTATACCGCCCTGGCTGCTCCCACACCGGCCGCTCCCACACGGGCACTTCAGTGCTCCACCCCTGCTGTCCGGGGCGCACCTCCCATCCCTCGCTTCCGCGCCTCACGCGCCGGCTACTTGCGTACGCCAGCGGGCGATCGTCCTCCTCATCCCAGTCAGAGTGGTACGGCTCGGGGCTCGACGAGGAGCTCGTGTCCTCATCGTCGACAGCGAACCCGTTCTCGTCCAGCCGTGTGTCCCACGCCGGCACGTAGCAGCTGTCGCGCGCGCGCTTCGCCATGCTGCTCGGTTTCAGGGCCGGATTCAACCCGTCACCATACACAAACGGTTGGTCCGGCATCGGCGCCGGCTGCTGGTAGTACTGCGGATCGCGCGGGGGCCACGAGTACTGCGCCGAGGGCTCTGGTACGTCAGCTTGAGAACCTGGCGTCAATCGGTGCCATTAGGGAAAAAGGGGGCGGGCAGAAACTTACCTCACTACACCATCTCCTCTGCGTTATTCAGGTGGGAACGTAGCCGCGCCTGAGCCTGGCTGTGCCCCGAAGACAGACCCAAGTCCTTGCCCGGCTGCACCGCCTGGTCTGGCGCGACGGCATACGCCCACTCCTGCGCAGACTCACCGCCGGCATCGGGGTTGACAGCGTACGACAGCCCGTCGCCCTCCATCTCCTGCGGCCACAGCCACAGTAACGGGTTGTTGCCGAGCACAGTCTTGATGTTGGCGATGCGCCCCAAGTTCTGACGTCAGCTCGAAGACGCCATAAATAGCTACACACGTAGGGGTATGTGATCTCCTCGATCTTTCCGCGACGGACAAGCGTCGCCACCTTGTCCTTCTCCCATCGCTCGACCGTCGTCGTGTTACTCGAGATCAGGTACAGGTGGTACCAGCTGAACAGGCCGACGCACATCCATACCGGGATGCACGCTGTAAAGTTGAACACGAGGAAGATGATGTCCGAGGCGGTGGGCTCGTTCTGGCTGTCAGCTTGGCGCGGGAGCAAGGCAAGCTTGGATACGCACAGAGACATTGTCGATGATCGCCTTGACCTTGGCGACCATCATGACAAGGTGGTAAGTCGTCGCAAAGTCGACCCACCACAGGAAGCGGATGAAGTGGCCGTGGTTGTGGTAGCCGACGCAGTTTGCAATCCACGGACAGTGGTCTGGGGTCAATTTGCTGCTACATCCGGGTAACTTGCAACGCCGCGCGAAGATACGTACGGTCAAGCTGTTGTTAGCTGTAGTCGAAGGCGTCAGAGCTTACCTTCAGAACACAAGTCTTGCACTGGCGACAGTGATGGGCGCGCGGCGGCTTGTAGTGGCCGCACATCTTGCAGAACCTTGGTGCCGAGTTGCCGCGCTTGACCTCGATGTACTCTGAGCCCTGCATGTTCGGTCGCTGTGCGTTAGCTTCTACTAGTCCCGGCAGCTGAAGTAACAGCGCCCGTCATCACCGCGATGCGTCACTCCGATGTGCAAGAGAGGCTAGTCCCCGTTTCCAGGCTTCGGGAGGTGCAAAAGGAGCAGCGGCAAAAGATGACTCACGTATCCGAGGGGCACGCTCCCCGGCGGCGTCTTGACGCAGAGGTAGTAGTTCCAGAACACCATGGCGACGAGCAGGCTGCAATGTGTCAGCTCATCGTCCGCGAACGCGTTAGCTCACTTGAAGGGGATAAGGAGCTTGAGAAGGTCGACGGAGAGAACGCTCCCGTACCATGGCCAGATGATGAAGATCTGGGACGAGTACGAGATGAACGAGATCAGGCAGACTGTGCCAATGACCCTGCGGTTAGCTTTGGACTAGGGCTCTAGCTCACCAAGCGGTCTTGGACCAGTCCATGGTGACTAGTTTCAAGTTGACCGCGGGTCAAGTGAGAATGGGAGAAGGAAGAGAGAGGGACGATACGAAGGAGGGGTGATCGATCGAAAGGAAGGGTGGAGGCACGCGTGAATACGTAGGTGACTGGAAGCCAGGGTCGTGTTCTGGGCGGACACAGGCAGACTCTCCGCCAGCGCCCAGACCATCCGACGGAAAGCCGCATCCAGATTGCAATGCAGATATCATGGTCGCATCAACAGCATCATAGCTAAGCTAGCAGTACATAACTCTCGTCGGGCAGCGGGCAACAGGCAGCGGGCAACGCTCTATCAAGTGCTTCATATTACGGCGGCCCTGCTGTACTCGCGGCGTGGCTTTTCTACTCTCGTGATGGCGGACCTTCCCTCCGTTCCGGACAGATCTGGCTGACAAGAGAAGGAGGACACTATGACGACTTGCTCCGCTTCACCTTGCGCATCGGCGGCGCGGGAATGAACCCAAGCACGCCAAACATGAGAATGTACACTGCCGTCGCTGTCTGTCAGCTTGGAAGTGGCCTCTCAGCTTACCTCCACACATGGCCGCTAGCCGGCTCATCTCAAGCTTCTCCTCGAGGCCGAGAGCGGCGCGAATCGCACTCCGGATCGGGCCGCGGGGATGCGAATGCGACGCGTGGGAGAGCGCGAAAGCCAGCGCACTCCAGCCGCTCAGGATTGTGACGAAGAGGAGCTGCTGTCAGCCATTGCCCGTTGCTCGGCGATCGGTATTCAGATCTCTCGGTCGGGGTCCTTGATCCCTCTCTCCCCCGTTTCAGCCCGGTATGCGGCGTACTCCCCTGCAAGAGCTTGCCGCCGGTAGCAACGGCGCTAGCATACTAGCGGATGCGTGGGGGCCATGCCGCTCGAGTATGACGCAGAGAGCGCGGCAATGGTTGGGAAATGCACGTAAACAATACCCCGATCCCCAACTTTTGGTCTAGGCACCGACCGCTCGCCGCGCCGCGCCGGTCGCGCGCTGAATACCTGGGACATGGGAGAGCAACTCACAGGGACAATGACACGGAGACGCCGCGACTTCTGCCATTTGGGGTACTGATTGTCAGCTACATGTTCACGGCTGCTAAGCTGCACGGTCTGGGGAACGTCTGGCGGCGCGGACTTACATTCGGGAGCGCACCCTGGTACCATGGCAGATAGACGACGAGGTAGAGGAAGAGCGAGACGGTGATGAGCTGCAGGCCAACGGCGGCCGAGAACGCGGTACTGGACAGTCAGCAGGTCGGTGCACGTTCAGCGTTTCCGATCCCGGACGGCTCCGTGCGCCCTGCTTTCCTCATACCCGTAGCCGGGCTGGAAGTCTGGGAAACGGAGCGTCTGAACGAGCGTCGATGAGGAAAACGATACTCACTGGCCCCATCCGCTGAGTGCGCGAACCTGGGCGACGGCGGCGGGCAGGTCGAACCACCAGATGCCCAGCAGGCCGGCGGCGACGTACTTGCCGTGCTTGACGAGTGCGCCCGCGAAGCCGGCGGGACGGTCGATCTCAGCGAGCGCGCGCTCGCTGCTGCTTCCGCGTCGCTTGGCGGGGAGGGATCCGGCCGTGCTCATGACGATTCGTTGCGATGAGAGAGTGGGAGGTGTCGAAACGAGACGAAGAGAGAGAGAGGGGAGATGGATGCCCTCGATCGCAAGCGAGGCCATGAGTGACGCCCCTGGACGTAAGGGATCCTCTTCGACCTCCACCGGCTCCTGCGGCAGCTGCGGCTTGCGCTCACCGCATCCGGTATCCCGGACCTGGACGACGACATTCCATTCCGAAGTTCCTCCGCAACCACTTCTTATAACAAGACTTCTGCTGCTGCATACATATCACTCTACGACAATTACCAGACCTGGTTCTTCTCGTTCTTCTCCTCGGGCTCGTTGAAAATGTTGATCGGCCACCTGTCACGTCAGCATATTGCCCTCGCGTTTCCCGAGAACACAAAACACAGAGAGATACACAATGTCAGGGTGATCGGTCGCCCCAATAGAATCATCGGAATCGAGGAGCAGAGCAGCTCCGGGGTTCAGGAAAACTCTAAACGACCCGCAGCACGCGGCCTACTCTACGCCGCGCCTCCTGGCAACCACTGGAGTCGCAAGAGGTCGCCGCAGCGCCGCCTGCGTCGCACGGCGCCCAGCGGCAATCACGTGGCGCCGCTGGCTGCGTCACTCGGCTGCAAGAAGAGCATGCCACCCTCCGTGTCCGGAAACGCATACTCACTTGGGCTTGTACTCGGCGGGGATGTTGCCACGGGTGTAGTTGGCCTTGCCCCACTCGCTGATAGCCTTGAAGTCCTCGTCGTCGAGCTCGACGGCCTCAAAGTTGCTCCTGATGCGGTCGGGGGTGACGGACTTGGGGATCTCGATGAAGTCCTGCTTCAGGCCCCAGCCGATGAGAACCTGGGCAGCAGTCTTGCCGAGCTTCTCCGCAATCTTCTTGACGGGCTCGGCGTCGAGGTCGCGCGGCTTGCCCGTCACATTGTTGCCGAGGGGCGAATAGGCTGTGAGGTGGATGTTCTTCTCCTTCAGGTACTTGAAGAGCTCGGGCTGGATGAGGGTCGGGTGCGCCTCGACCTGGTTCACGGCGGGGACGACGCCGGTCGCCTTGATAATCTTCTCGAGGTGCTCGATCGTGAAGTTCGACACACCGATGGCGCGCACCTTCTTGGTCTCCTTCGAGATGCGCACGACCTCCTTCCATGTGTCGACGATCGAGGGGCCGCCAATGTCGAGAAGAGCCTCACCGTCCTTCGAGGGGGCAAGCTCCTTACCCGGCTGGAAGGGGACAGGCCAGTGGATAAGGTACAGGTCGAGGTAGTCGGTGCCGAGCTGCTTCAGCGTCGTGTCGAGGTCAGCCTCGACGTGCTCGGGGCGGTGCGAGTTGTTCCAGAGCTTGGAGGTGATGAAGATGTCCTTGCGGTCGACGCCGGAGTCCTTGATACCCGCAGCAACCTCGTTCTGGTTGCCTGAAACGTCAGCCAGCCGTTCTACATCGCTTCTCCGCGTCATCCGGACTTCAGTTCATCTTCCCCCCACCCCTCCCGACAACTCCCGAGCTCTTTCAAGCTTCACGACGTCAAGAAGAGAGCAGAAAACACGTACCATAGATGAGGGCTGCATCGATGTGCCTATAGCCCGCCTTAAGAGCCTCTGTGACGGCCTTCTCGACCTCTCCGGGCTTGGCCTGCCATGTGCCGAAGCCGATCTGGGGGATCTTGACGCCGTTGTTACTGGTGGCGGTCAGAATCGTGGAAACTGTGAAAATTGGGGCACACGCGGGTCGGCTGGACCATGCATGCTTCTGCGCCCCTGGGTGGGCACATATGCGTGCTGGCTAGCGCTGGGCAGGGTGCAGGTGCGATGCAAATGGATGCTCACGAGCGAGCGACCTGTCAAAAGTCGCCGGCATCGCCCACCTCCACCCTTCTGCAGCCACGGCTCACGTATGCCACCTCACGTCCAGTTCACTCACAGAGTAAGTTCGCGCTTGTTCGACATGGTTGCGAGTGTGTTGTTGTGTATGCGGGAGAGTGCGGTCGCAAGCTGTGGGAACTTATATATAGATGCAGCGCGGGGTTTGGGGTGCGCTGTTGACGTGGGATGATCAGGAGTGGAGGTACTATGACGTGATGACTAGAGCCAGTGGCCTCCTCCGCCGCCAACCCTTTGCTTGGTTCCAGCACACCAGACTGACATTGCATCGCGCTACTCTCACCGTCCCCGCAGCATAACATGCTTATCGCCGCGATGCCCAACGCCACGCTCGTCACTTGTGCGACACAAGTATCCATGACACGACATGACGCACCGCAGCAACATCATAAATGTCTCAGCTTCCGAGAAAACGGCGTCATGAAATTTCACCCGCTCACCTGCTCACACCGGCGAATCACTGCCGCCGGCAAGCAACGGCCCCTTAGGCATGCGGCACGACGGCACACCGGCACGGCGTTTTGACGCCTCATGGACGCCATTGCCGCCTCCGCAGAGTATGCTGGAACGATGCGATCCAAGCTGTTGCGGCTGTCATTTGCCCTGGTTGCTGATTAATGCTTCTGCGCTTGGTCATCATTGAAACCCCCTGCCGTGTTGCTTTCGCACCGAGGAGCATTCCGCCGCTGCTGGCGACGCTCTTAAGGGTGCCATTCTCCTCAGATGGCTGCCGTCATCAAGGAGAGTAGCCGCCTAGCAGATGCACGAAGACAGCATAGCGGCCAGGAGCGTCGTCGATGAGTGCACCAGCGCGGCCTGTCCGCGTCCCCGATAGCTGCGATAGCTCTCATCGGACCAACATTCACGTGACAGACCTTATCCCGTTCTATCCGCGGTATCCCTGTGTATCTGCGTCGACTCATCTGCTTGCATCAGGTACGAGTATGCGCCATCTATCGGATCTTGCATGCAAGGCGCTCGGACAGTTCTCCGATCGAGTCGGGTGTTTCGAGTCGCACACAAAGTCGGCAGGCGCGGCAGGTTAACGGGTAGATAAGCAGGCAACATTCCGCGCGGAAAAGCCGACGTCCATCATGTACAATTTCCAGCCCTGACATCTAATCAACCAACTACTTGTCACATCACTCACTCGTCGACTTGACATGGAACTCTTCCCCAAGACCAAGGTCGTGGTCATCGGTGCCGGAGAGCTGGGCGCGACTGCTGCCGTCTCCCTCGCGGAGAGCGGGCACTATGACGTGACGGTGCTTGATCGCGCGCCCATTCTTCCAGCCGAAGACGCGGCAAGCACCGACATCAACAAGGCTGTGCGGGCCGACTACATCGATCGCGACTACGCCGTGCTCGCTCAGGAGAGCATCCGGCGCTGGAGAGGGAAGGAGTGGGAGGGCGTGTACCACGAGTGAGTCTGCCCCGACATCGACGGCTGAGCGCATCATCTGACGGGGGCAGAACCGGCGTGCTTCAGCGCAACCTCACGCGTCCCGAGGCGGTGGAGCTGTTCGCGGCCGTTCAATCGCTCGACCCAGAGGGCGTGAGGAAGCTCTCCTCGTCCGAGATTCGTGCCAGGCTCGGTCCCGGTTCCGAGGGATCAGCGGCGCTGCAGCAGAGCGCGTATTACAATCCCTCAGGAGGCTGGGCGTGGTCCTCGGGCGCAATCGAGAAACTCTACGCGCGGCTACGCGAGCTCAACGTGCCCATCGTTCCGTCGGCGGAACTCGCCGAGCTGATCCGGGACGGCGACGCCGTCGTCGGCGTCAAGCTGACAGATGGCCGCGAGTTCCGCGCCGACAAGGTCATTGCCGCCCTTGGGTCCTGGACAGGGGGACATCCCGCGCTCAAGGGGCTGCTGCCCAAGGGTCTGCTTGTGCCCACTGGACAGACAGTGGCCGCCGTTCAGCTCACGCCGGAGGAGATGGAGATCTACAGGGACATTCCCGTCAACGCGACCCAGGACGGGACAGGATACTACGCCTTCCCGCCCACGGCGTCGGGGGTGATGAAGTTTGCCCTGCACTCGGGCGGATACACCGTGCCCAACAACGTACCGCGGACGGTGCTCGACCCCGCTGCAGCCGCTTATGCGCAGGAGAAAGGCGTCGGTTGGATCCCGCGGAAGAGTCTTGCGCTCCTCCGCGAGAAGCTGGGCAAGGGTTTCCCCGCCCTGGCCAAGAAGGAACTCAAGTACACGCGCATGTGCTACTACTCAGACACGCCCGATGGGGACTTTGTCATCGACTATGCCGCGCCAGGGTTGCTCGTGGCTAGTGGTGGCGCAGGACACGCGTTCAAGTTCCTCCCTGTCATGGGAGAGATCATCCACGCTCGTCTAGAGGATAGGCTGCCTACTCATTTGAAGAACAAGTGGCGGATAAACCGACCAGTGCCCGAGGCGCCGAGCGATGACGACAGGCAGGGATTCGGACGGCAGCCGCTGGACTTGGAGAGTCTTGCTACGACGGCAGAGATGGGTGCGCAGTGATGCAGCATTGTGCATTGGACAAGCTCTATGTGGTGTCTGGTAGACCAACCTTCACTGATCTTTCTCGGAACGCCCTGCTCAGGACCTCTTGTTCTGCATCTTCCGCCACACCTCCTTGTCGCGCGGCTTCGCCTCGCAACTCACTGCCTCCAGCGTCCACTGCATCAGGCTGCTGCAGTCACTGCCCTTCCGCGTAGCGACTGCATCGTGTACGATGCTCTTGAACGGGTGCGGCGGTGTCTTCTCCTCTCTCAACCAGGCATAGTCCTCAGGTCCTCGGGGACGGTAGATCGCATATTTGGCTTTGAGGAGCGCCATGCTCTCCTGCAATTCGGTAATCTGTTCCCTCAACGCCTGGTTAGCCTTCTCCCTCTCCTCTGTGAGCTTTCTTATCTCGTCCAGAGAATTCCAGCCCTGTCTCTCTTTCTTTTTCTCGAACAGCGCGTGGATCTCGTTCCTCATGTCGTTGATCGAAGTTGAGGCGTTTGAGATCAGATTCTCAATCCTTTGTGGGGGATACGCCTGTGGTCAGCAGTGCCAGTTACAAGATCACTTTGGACATACTTGGCGCGCCGAAGTGTCACAAGCTCGGTCGCGGTTCGTCATGATCGTCGGCGACTCAAGCGCGGCCTGAGGCGGGGGCTGTGCTCCAGCATCCTCCCATGCCGGAAGAAGGGTAGGTGGGGGCGAGTCGTAGGCGGGCATGGTGCCAGTCAGTGAAGAAGGCCAAAGTGCGTCAGTCACTGTTTTAGTATGAACGACGAAGTCGCCACTCGAAGCCGCGGCAACGAGCCATCAGACTAAACAGCCAGCTCGACTCGAGTCAACCCCGAGCTAGTTTGTTCCCTCACTTCTCGCAGCAGCTGCAAGCCATCTTCGTGATGCTAAACGCATGAGCGCAGGACTGTCGCCTCTTACCTCTCTCTCCTCGCTTATAGCTCTCGACGTTTCTGCTGCCTCACCCGTTAATTATCAGCTCTGTGGATCAAACGCGACCGAGAAACAGTCCAATGCATTGGGCGTAGAGTACAACTGAAACAACTGAAGACAACCTCCCCCTCTCACTCCTCTGTACTCCGGTGACTATAAGGACTTAGTGTTTTATGATTTGGTGTGTCGATGTGTGTGGTATGTCTATGGTGGACGGTATCTAGAGAATGTATCGGAAGCGGACCTGGGCCTCGTCGAATGGCTCGCCGCTCGCGACAATTTCCCTCTCGCGCTCGTCGAGTTTCCGGTTCTCGCGCTTCAGGAGCCAAACCAGCCCGAGGGCAACGAGAATGCTGCTCGCGCACATGGCCATGCTGAACCCGAAACCCGTGGTGTACTGGGGCGCCTCGTGCGCGAGGTAGCTGTTCGTGCCCGCCGCGGTCGCGAGGGACGCGAGCGTGAGCTGGAGCGCCATCGAGATGTTGCGCTTGCCCGCCGTCTCGGCGTTGTTGCTGTTCCACGCGAGCGAGCCGGGGAAGGCCATGTAGATACCGCTCATGAGGACGCAGCACGCAAAGTAGCGCACGCCAGGGATGCGGTCCTTTGGCAGGCAGTAGAGCATGATGAGGCCCGCGAGCGCGACGGAGAAGCCGACCACGATCATGTCTGAGCGCCGTTGCCGGCGGTCCGAGTACAGACCCGCGATGAAGGTGCAGATACACGCGGCACAGTAGACGGGGATAGTGAGGAGTTGCGCGTTGGCCGCCTTGTATCCCATCTGGACCAGGATGGTGGGCAGTGTGTACGAGAATCCGAACACGACAATGTTGACACTGCCCGCGAGCCACGTGCACATCCACACCTTGTAGTCGCACACGACCTGGCGGAGGTACTTCCACTCAAAGTGCTGCTTGGACGCTTGGCCCTCAGCGGCACGATTGGCGAGGATCGCATCGCGCTCAGAGGCCGTGAGCCACTTGCTCCGCGTCGGGTCGTCGGGGAGGAAGATGAAGATGAGGCTCGACAGGAGCACGGTTGCGATGCCCTCGAGGATGAAGATCCAGCGCCAGGACGCGAGATTGCCGACGCCGTCCATGTAGTGGATCGCGTAGGCGAGCAGACCCGAGAAGGCGCCGGAGAACACGCCGATCACGTAGAACGCACTGATGCGCGTCTGCACCTGCATGCGCGGGTACCAGTTTCCGACGAGGACGAGGGCGGACGGGAAGAACGACGCCTCGGTCACACCGAGCATGAGCCTGGCGTAAGCTGCTGAACCTTCTACGGCCCATCCGCACTTGTGCGCACAGGAACACTAGCGCAAACTCTACTCACCTTACAGCGATGGCACCTCCAAAGTTCTGAACGAGGCCGCTCAGCGTCATGACGATGCCCCAGGCGAGACAGATGCACGCAATCCACAGCGACGGACGGACGTAGCTGAGGATGATGCCTCCGGGCACCTCCATGCCTCCGTAGGTGAAGAAGAACACGGTCGCGATGAGGTTGTACTTCTGTGTCGTGATGCCGAGGTCCTCCTTGAAGCCGAAGATGGAGGCGTTGGCCAGTGATCCTCGGTCGAGGTACGAGAAGAGATACAGGATGGCGAGGGGCGGGATGAGGCGGCGATCGACCTTGCGCAGCGCGCGCTGCAACTCGGCGTCGTCGCGGGGCTGGGCAACGACATCGCCGGCGTCGCCCTTCGACTCTGTCGAGAAGCTGCCGTGGCCGGCCTTCTCATCCTCCGGCCACGAGGGCTCCAAGGTGGTAACCGCAAGCTCAGGCTCCGGGCGCTGCGACATTGCGTTATGCGTGTTTGACTTGTGTGGCGTTGACGTGTGTTGGATGATGCGGAAGAACGAAAGCGCGCCGCTTTATGAACTCTGCTGCTAGCCTGGGAGGTTGCTGTTATGCGCCGCGCATGGCCCCCTGTCGTGTAAACTAGATACCGAGGATGCGCCTCAGATACCGGAGGGGCGCAGATAGCGCGAAAGAAGATAGCGTTCTCGGCTGAGAGCGGCAGAGGCGCTGACTGATGCGCAGGTGGGCGTTCAGATCGGAACGCCAAGATGCTGATGACAAGTGCTGGTTCGGGGGTACGCGGGCGTACAGCGTCGTTTGTTGCTTATCGGGTCGGAGCGTTTGGGGGCGTGGACGAAGAGAAGTGATGATGTGTGGACGTGGGGAGCGTGGGCAGTGCGTTCCACGCGCTGCGAAATGAACGGTATGGCCAGGTGTTATGCGAGATGTCCGGAAAAGGCTGGCGGGACTGGAGGAACGAAGGATCGGTCACATGCGACGAACAGAGTTCGAGTTCGAGTCGGTGCGGCGCACGACGGCGAGGGTGTGCGGGCCAGAAGCCGAGATGGGCTGGGTTGAGCCGTTTACCGGTATTTGGCTCCTGAGCGATCCGAGTAAATGACCCTAACAGGCCACAGACCTTGACCTTTGAGGTCCCACTCCAATAGGAGCGATCTGAAAAGTGAAAGCTTCTGTGGATCTGCTGGGTGAATTCTGACCGTTCTGGCTGTTTTCTGGGTTTCCTAGCTCGAATCGAACAGCCTAGGAATGGATCCGGAGTACCTATGCCGTCAGCCGTGCTCATTGGCTCCAGTGCCACAGCCTCCCAATGGAAAAGACGGCCATGTCCGACATAAGGTTGGGAGACATGCATATCTCGCGTGGCGGGGGATCTCCCCACTTTATACGACAGCGATAGCAAACTCTCGATGGGGCCGGCCAGTGCGAGGAGGAGCATACGATACGCCCCCCAGCCCCGCAGCAAGATACGCGCAATCTTGCCCACTCGCTGGGCCCAGATACGCACTCTCTGCGTCATTGTCATGAGTTGCCGTGTACCTGCGGCGAACTGGGGAGCAGAGTGGGCAGCGGTGGGCACGTCGTATAAGTTTTTATCACCCCCACAGCACGCGGCTCGGCACGCTCGGCGGCCACCATTGTCGTCTGATCACGCAGACGCAGCCTACAGGCTACATGCTGCAGGCTCGGGCACGCCCTGCCCGGCCGGCCCGCAAGTGCCGCGGACAAGTCATGTCACCTGCCTGCCAGTCGTAAACGCAGCGTGACACAGGTGCCCGTAGATATATGAGCTGTTGGAGCGCCGTTGCCATCACTCACCCACTTCACTCACACCATGACAAAGTCGACATACATCCCCGGCACGCACCAGGTCAACGGCGAGCGCCTGAACGCCACCCTGCACGAGACGTGCGAGTGGGGCAAGGCGAACCGATGGGGGGAGTGAGTAGAGCGCCATTCGGCTTTCTTCACGGTTCCGCGACACTCAGCTGACACGCAGCGGCCCCAACGAGACGGGTATGTGCCGCCTTGCGCTCAGCGACAGCGACAAGCAGGTGCGCGACTGGTTCGTCTCGGAGCTCAAGAAGCTGCGTTGCAGCGTGACAGTCGATGCGATGGGCAACATCTTCGGTGTGCGGCCCGGCAAGCGCGAGGGCCCTCCGACAGCTATGGGCTCTCACCTCGACACGCAGCCGACGGGCGGCCGCTACGACGGCATTCTGGGCGTGCAGGCCGCGCTCGAGGTCCTCCGCACGCTCGACGACAACAAGATCGAGACCGAGTTCCCCATCGCGGCCATCACGTGGACGAACGAGGAGGGCGCGCGATTCCCCAAGTCCATGCACGGCAGCGCGGTCTGGGCAGGCGCCGTGTCCCAGGACGACGGGTACGCGCTGGCAGACGTGACGGACAGCAGCATCACGACGAAGAGCGAGCTCGAGCGCATCGGATACCTCGGCACCGTGCCGTGTTCGCACGAGGAGACGCCGCTCGCGGCCCACTTCGAGCTGCACATTGAGCAGGGCCCCATCCTCGAGCGCGAGGACAAGGTCGTCGGCGTGGTCCAGGGCGGCCAGGCGTATCGGTGGTACGAGCTTACGGTGTCTGGCCGTGACAGCCACGCGGGCACGACGCCGCTCGACGCGCGCGCCGACCCCGTGCTTTGCGCCGCGCGCATCATCTCCGCCGCCAACGACATTGCGCACAAGCACTCTGGTCTCGCGACGACGGGCATCTTCCGCCTCGAGCCCGGGTCGGTGAACACGAGCGCGCGCGAGGTCGTCTTCTCCATGGACATCCGGCACATGCAGGACGCCAAGCTGGACGAGATGGAGAAGGAGCTGCGCGCGGCCGTCGAGGAGCTGGCGAAGGGTGAGAAGCCGTACAAGGCCAAGCCGTGCAAGGTCGAGTGGAAGCCGCTCTTCGCCAACCCGGCCATCAAGTTTGACCCGGCGTGCATTGCGGCAGTGCGCGAGGCGGCAGTGAATGCCGTCGGTGAGGAGAAGACGAGGGACATCTACTCTGGCGCCGGACATGACTCTTGCTTGACGGCGCTCCACTACCCGACCGCCATGGTGTTCATCCCCTGCAAGGATGGCCTCAGCCACAACCCCGAGGAGTTCGCTACCGCCGAGCACTGCAGCATCGGCACGCAGGTCCTCCTCGACGCTGTGCTGGGTTACGACTCGAAGCGCTCCCAGTAAGCGCTATGCCGTTCACGAGGTGCGGAATGCGGGAAAACGCGGCGGCAACGTGCCCGCCCACCGCTAGTGCAATCTATCATGAAGTCTCATAGGAAACACAGCGAGTAGAAGTCGCAGTTTGATAACGTTGTATGCATGTGTGCTCTGGCTTGCTTCCCGGGGTCGCTGCGGGCTGCTTGAACGGAGGGCGACACCATGATGGTGTGCTCAGTCTGTCGCACTTTGCTCGGCCTTCACGGCGAGACAAATACAGGGCCTCGCACCACTAGTCCGTCATCACCGAGGTCATGTCGCAGTTGGGTCTGAGCCTCGGCTGAGGCGACATTTTGTCCGCTTCTATAAACGGAGGTGGGGCGGAGAGAGACCCTGTACTCCGAGGAAGACGGACACTCTTCTGCACACTCGAAGTGGAGATGGACTTGGATATCTACACGGGCATTTCGCTTGTTAAACTGTGCCAAGTAGCGAGACGAGACAGACGAGCGACAGCAGATGTGTAGACGTTCAGACACCGGCGCCAGCACCAGACCCCGTTATGGGCACTGCCAAGCCCAGGAATATCCTCGGAACATCCCATGACAAGAAGCTCAGCGGGTCGCGCCGCCGCTCCTGCCCATGCCATGCTGCCACTGCTGGCGGACATGTGCCCCGCCGTGCTCCTTTTGTGCCCTGCATGCCCCTGATCTTGGGGTCGCGCTCCAGTCGGCGGCGCCGAGCAGGATCGAGCAGTGAGGAGCCTTGGCGGGCCCCAGGAAGGACCCAAAGGGATGCGGAGTAATGCGGTTAAATACTGAACGCTCATGCTATTGGCGCTCTGGACGTGCCGTGCACGGAGCACGAACGCGTCCCCGGCACGACTGACGGGTGTTAGCGAAGTTCGTCTCGATGCAGGATGGGATGGACGATCATTTGGCAGTCACGCCGCTGTTCGAGTGGCGCCGACTCCGTCAGAAGCGCAGTATCGATATCAAGAGGAGCAGCAGCTGTCCAGAGAGCGCACACACTTAGCATGTGAGCTTAAGGGGATGAACGTGATCCTAATCTCTACGCGCTCAAGGCCCGCTCGAGTTACTCGCTCTCGCTCGGGGCCCTCTCGTCATTAGGCACGGTATCAGGAGAAGGCCGCAAGCGATACGACGGAGATGACCTTGACATATGAATGCGTAGCAGGTGGACCCTGCGGAGAAGTTGTTCGATCTCCCGATCTCGCTTTGGGTGATCGTGAGGGGAGTAATGCAGCAAGAGGACTGATGGACAAGAAAAGTCGAAAGGATGCCTTCCTCAGACACACTTGGACGTAGCACGAGTCACATGACCTGAGCCACAGTGGATGTAGCCCCACTGGAGTGTCGTCTAAACGCTTTAGGCTATACCCACCCATACCCCGCACACTCCTCGTCGTCCTGCCCACCTCTCACACCCACTCCCTTCCAACATCCAGCCGACAGTCGACAACATCCTCTACACGACCAAACACAAATGGGCAGCATACGCCAGACAAAGGGCCGCTCCCGCACAGGCTGCAAGCAATGTCGCATCGTGAGTCACTCCCTCTCCTTTGGCTTTATCTGACAGGCAGGATCGCAAGAAGGTATGTAACCTCGCTCTCTGACTTTTCCATCGCATCACTTCCACCTCGCAACGCCTCCCAACAACGGCAATAAGGGGATGACTCTGACCTCAGTGCGATGAAGTCCGACCAGCGTGCGGCCGCTGTGCCCAACGCCGCACGAGCTGCGACTTTGACCGCCCCCTCGGTGTCCGCCTGCCGAACCGCCGCCGAACGAGCACCGTGAGTGGGTCCGTCAGCGGCCCTGGCGCGATGCCGAGTCCGCGCGCAACCCCCGTCGCCTCTCTCCCTCCCCTCCGCAGCGATGAGGGGAGCATGAGTTCCGGATCGCCCGCAGAGTCTCACCACACGGCGCACACGCACGCCTCGCACTCGGCGTCCCACTCGCACGCCGCTCACCCCCCGCCGCCGCACCACTCGGCGGGACACTCGGGCCACGCGCACCAGACCCACTCGTCCCATCCCGCCCATACCTCTCATGCCGGCCACACGGCCCACTCGCCGCACATGTCTCACCCGCCCCACCCGCCGCACTCGCACACAACGCCGAAGGAGAATGGGCGCATGTCGCACCCGACGTCGAGCCTGCGCGACTGGGCCAGTCCGAGTTCGAGCAAGTGAGTTGTAATCCTCCGTACGGTCAACTAACAGACAGGGCCGCTGAGGCCGCGCCGCTTATGGATGTCGTGCCGCCCGTAGCATCAGTCTCGCCCCAGGTGGATGTCTCTGTCTCTCCGCTAGTCGTGCCGGGCACATCGTTCGACGATCTCGGCCTGGGCCAGGACTTGTGAGCTCGTTCGCCTTCGACGATAGCTAACTTCAGCGACCCCTTCCATGGCCTACTGAAGGACCTTTTCGACAGCACGACGGCAGACATGACGCCGTCGGCCATGCAGATCCTCTTCGCGCCTCCTGCACCAACAGCGCACCGGGGCCCGAACGTGGAGCCGCGCGATGTGCAGCGCCGCTTCAATGCCCCACTCGACCCCCGCGCCGAACTCGCCGGCATCATTCCCGCCCCTGTCCTCGCCACGCTCAGCGACACAGACGCACGCTTGTTTTATCACTACATCGACGTGCAGGCCACGATCTCGGTCGGCGTCGAAACAGAGGACAACCCGTTGTCGACGTACTTCATCCCTGTCGCGCTGAGCGCGGCTTTGGGCGAGAGCAACGGCGACAACGGTCCGAACGACGGTAACCCGGCGTTCCACGCGCTTAAGGCATGCGCCGCGACGCACCGCGCGAACCTCATGGACGGCACGGGTACGGACGGCTCGGCTGCGTTCCGCCAGGTCGCGCAGAGCGCAAGGAAGCGCGCGTACGCTCTTCTGGCCGAGCGCATCGAAGTGCTCTCCCGCGCCTCGCCGCTGGAGCGGGAACAGTTTGCGGGCGCCCTCGCCATCGTGAGTTTGCAGTCCGAGTGTTTTTTAACTCTCAGCTCGTCTCCCTCGCCGTGGTGGACGGAAACACGCGCCTCCTCCCCCGCCTTCTTCAAGCCTACTCCGTGCGGCTCCAGACAGCAGACACGCCAAGCGCCAACGAGCTCTTCTTCATCAGCGCGATCAGCCTGTACCAGGCGTGGTACAACTTCAACCTTGTCGTGATCCTCGACCAGCCTCTCATGCCTCTGCTCTGTGAAATGGCACGGGACCCGCTCACACTCTCCCCGCCGGTCGAGGACGTGTTCGCCGTCCCGCCTGGCATTGCCCTGGAACACATGAGGGTCTACCATGTGATTCGGGAGTACCGGGGAGCAATGCGCGACGGTGCCGAGAACGGGCGCCGCGAGCTCGCAGCCCAGGTCGAGGCTGACGAACTCGTCACAAGTCTCGGGCACGCAATCTGCGCCGACCTCGAGGCACGGGACAGGGAACCGCGCGGCGAGGGCGTAGCGCGTCGCAAGGCCGTCGGGCGTCTGCTGCACCACGCGGCTCTGCGCGCGCTTCTTCTCCGTGAAGTCTTCCACTGCAGCCGTACCGATACGGCGGTCCAGGAGTGCGTCGCGCATGCCCTGTCCTCGCTCCAGAGCATAAAGTGGGGCACGGAGAGCGGCCTCCTGATCCCGCTCATGGTGCTCTCGACTGCGGCGCTGGAGCGCGAGCGGCTCCAGTTCAGAGACTTCATGGTCAGACTATGCTGGAAGGGAAGCGTCGGTCCCCGCGCTGCGCTCAGAACGCTCGACATGGTCATTGACGACAAGGCGCTGGACTGGCGAGATGCGCTGAGGAAGGTGGGGTCGGGACTGATTCTGGTCTGAGCCGCCTGAAGGGCAGCAGCGATGGGGCCGCGGCTGGGCTCTGAATGCCGAGAGGCGGACGGTGAAAACGGTTGTACACGGACTGAGTACAGATGATACATCATTTCTTTGGGACATAGCGAGTGTATTCTTAGACCTTAATGTATGTTGAGTATACATGTTAAGCTAATCGCGAGATGGTGAGGTCAGGTCAGCGGCGAGCGGCGCTGTCCGCTGACCGTCGGCTTGGCCGCGAACCGTCGGCGAACTCAGGTTCCAGGCACGTCGGTCACCTCCGGTGCCCCAGATTTCCAGATTAGTGACCCGGTTACAATCCACCCGCATCCATTGATCGACACTTTCGTGCTGTTGCCCACTACCTCATCGCCCCCCTCTACACCTTTCAGCGACCCAGCGAGCGAGGTGGGAAGCAAGATGAAAGCGTTCCAGATCAGACATCACGCTCACCCGCGAGAACACCCTGTGTAAGCTACTCAAGCCCATTCCAGCTGACTGGGACAGGTCTGAGATCCCACCCCCGGTGCCAAAGGAAGGCGAAGTGTTGATCGACGTGTATGCGGCGGGTCTGAACTTTTTCGAGTGAGTCGCTTCCTTCCTTTCCCCCCTGTGCTTCCTGCGTAAGAGCTAGAGGCGCCGTGAAGAAAGCTGACACCCAGCGTCCTCCAAGCCCAGAACCTGTATCAGCGTGAGCTTAGAGCCAAGTGCGCAGCTGACATCAGACAAGCCGCCGCTTCCCTTCGTCCTGGGCGTCGAGTTCTCTGGCCGTGTTGCGCAGGATTCGCCCATTCCGCCAGGATGTCCCTTCAAGCGCGGAGGTGAGCTCTCTTTGGCCCTATGGATAAGCTGACATCCAGACCGCGTGATGGGCCGCGGCCTTGGCGCTTATGCGGAACAGGTCGCTGTCCCCGTCAGCAGCCTGTTGCCATTACCAGAGGAACTGAGCTATGAGCAGGGCGCGGCATTCTATGTCGCCTACCCCACCAGCTACGAAGCGCTGGTCGGGAGGGCGCATGCCAAGAAGGGGGAGACTGTGCTCGTGCACGCTGCGGCCGGGGGTGTGGGCGTTGCGGCCGTGCAGATCGCCAAGAGTGAGTCACCCTTTCCTCCCACTGATCAATATCTGGAACCGCTACCGTTGTTCACATGACGACTCATCGAAGCGGTCATGCTCGACCCACCAATTCCATTCGCTTAGGCGCGGTCGTGCACAGCTGACACCAGGCCTCGGATGCACCGTCATCGGCACGGCGGGGGCAGACGCCAAGCGCGCTGCAGCCAAAGCGGCAGGCTGCGACCACGTAGTCGACTACACGCTGCCCGACTGGCCCCAGCAGGTCAAGGCGCTGACACGCGACCGCGGTGTAGACGTAGTCTACGATCCTGTCGGCCTGCTGATCCCCTCCCTGAAGTGCGTAGCGTGGAACGCGCGCCTGCTCGTCGTTGGATTCGCGGGCGGGACGATCGAGAAGATTCCCGCGAACCTCGTGTTGCTCAAGAATGTTTCGGTCGTGGGCGTGAGGGGCGGCGAGGCGGCGAGGAAGGATCCAGAGCGCGGTAAGCGGACTATTAAGGAGTGCTTCAGGATGATCACGGAGGGCATGCGGCCCGTCATTCATGGACGGGTGTATGAGGGCCTTGGAGAGCTTGCTGAGGGATTGGGAGACTTGGAGAATAGAAAGGTCACGGGCAAGGCGGTGGTGAGGATTCGGAGAGAGGAGGGGGGTGAGAGAGCCAAGTTGTGAAGGCACCTGGTCAAGTGGCGATAGAGCAGTAAGACTCTTCAGAAGCCTGGACCATTGGTAGGAGGCACTTTTTGTCTACGATATTCGGTCATCTGTAGCTTCCTCGGCGACTTTGACATGATAAACCCCGGACGATCGCATTATGGACGTCACATCTGCGCTATGAGCTCGGGAATGCCTCAGAGGTGTGCGAGCCTTAATGCCACCTTCTGCAGGGATGTCACGCCGCCGTATCTGACATGGCGAACAATGCGTTCAGAACAGGGCACGGTGCTGTGACCCCATTAGTAGAACGGCGTCACCTTCACTCGTCTCTTCGCTATGATGCTTGGCCTATGTAACTATATAGTGTTTGCCCATACCGCCATTCTACCCCTCTTGATAAGCGTATCATGCCCGCCAGTGCCAATGCCGTCCCGCGACTCGACCCAGCGAACAGTGCCATGAAAGGGGAACGAGCCCAGACCACAGCCGGGAAAGGAGCGACCACCCCTTCATCTGAAGAGGAGTATCGTACCCTCGGCACGCTTCTGCTAGCCATGCAGAAGGTAGTGGACAGTTTGGAGAAGGGTTCAAACCTAGCTCCGTCTCCGTCCAGGAAAGCCGTGCAAGCTCGAAATTTCCAGCTGCTCCAGTCGTACCTCGGACAGGCCGTCAGCAAAGTGGACGCTATCCACCGCGTCGACTCGGCCAGCATCCTTCCCGCCATCCTGTACGGCCATTCGAAGACGCCTCCCTACGGGACAGTCGAGGTAAGTTCGGTCTCGACGAGCCGCGCTGATATCTTCTCCAGCTCCGAGCCAACTGTGAAAGTGCCATTGCGCAGATGCGAGGCAACAAGACGCCTCTGAGGGGTACGACCTATCTCGACACGAACAGGGTTCAAGAGCTGGAGAGCAAGCTCTGGCCTGAGCAGATCATCAACGCGCTCGAATTCTCTCTCGGCAATCTTGAAGACGGAGTCGTGACGGAACGTAACAGCGCAGCCCACCCGATCAAGGACATTCTGTCCCTGCTGGAATGGGAGATTGGATCACTGCGCCGCATATCCGACCCTGCCGAGCGACTCCGGAAGGCCGACGCCCTGCACATCCTGTGCGTGTGTGCCACCGCAGCCCCGCACAGTGCCAAGACGCTCAATGTTCAGACGATTCTCCAGGATCTGCGGGAAGAACTGGGTCTTGGAGCTTTTAGCACGATCGCGAGAACAGTGGCTGGTCTCAAGCGACTGCAAAGAAGGCCCGACCGTTGAGCAGGAACCAGCTGGGACACTTGTGCCCTGAGCTCCTTGAGTCTCCGGATCAGTGAGGCTGGAATTACGGAACCGATGCATTGAAGTGCGCGCTCTGAGTTAAGCACTCGACGAAGAGGACGCAGATGAAGGGGGTGCAGGCCAGAGAGGCTCAGAGCTTCAGTCTTAGAGTCCGCTCCGCCGAGCCACCCCTGACGCTGTCCAGCAAGTAGGTAGGCAAGGGTCGCAAGCACTGCCCCCTCGCTCCCCGCTCCGGGCCAGGAGACAACCTTAATATGCAAAGCCGTCCAATGGGAGGTGCATTGGCCACCGTAGGCAGTTTGAGGAGCAACATTAGCGTACTATATAGATGATTGATTGCAGAGTGGAGTATGTGTGCAGATCAAAGACGACAATACGAAGATGTTGTGGCTCACGCTCGTTGCAGGAGGCGCTCGGCCTGACCAGGCCTCGAGGATGCACAGCCACTGCGGACATCGATACGACACAACGCGCTAGGCACGATGGCGCGTCACTGTCCGGGACACCGCGTACACGACGCATCTGCGACCTGCTGCCTCCACAATCGCTTGCATATCCATTCTGCTCCATCGTCATAGTACCCCCCCTCCAGATCCCTCGACTCGTCGATCATTCCGCTCTTCACCACCCCCCAGTCCCACTCTCCGCATTCCACCCTCCAAAAACGCCAGTACCAACCATGAGCGTCGAAGGCCGCCTCCGCTCTCTCGACCTCAGGTACGAGCGTGCATTCAAGACCACCTCGGCGTTGCAAGCTCGCGTCGATGCGCTCGAGAAAGCGAGCACCGCAGCGCAGCGCCTGACGGACGCCAAGATTCGCGCTCTCCAGAAAGAGGCGGCGCTCGTACATGCCCCCGTCGATGCAGCGGCACGCGCTCGCCGCGCTCGAGTCATCGTCGGCACGCTGAGCGGACGAAACCTGTGGGCGGCAGAGACAACGGAGGTGAGTATAGATCTGGACAGCTACGACACGTCGCGTATCCGCTCGGTCTGATGGATACTGACTGATCCGACTGGGGCTCCGCAAGCGATCAACCTCCTGACGGCAGGTACGCACCGCCGCCGCTGGCATTCTCGAAGCGCTCGGAGCGCCAGAGCAGGCGGGTACGGCGCTTGCGACGAGTGCACTGCACCAGCTTCAAGTGTCAGGCATGCACGTCGAAAGGCTAGAGCGGGCCGTGCGCTCGTGCCTCACCGACCTCGATGTAGAATCTCCTTCAGCTCTCTCCGACGTCGTCATCAAGGATGCCCAGACGCTGCTCGAGTGGGAACTCGCGACGCTTCTCCGCCGTCCCGGAGCAGAACAAGGACGGGCTGTGGCTGGAACTGACGTGCTGCTCGCCTGCACTGCATTGGCACCCTGGAACGCGGACACGATCGATGCCAAGAAGGAGCTGGATGACATCGCCGCACTCCTCCCTCCGGAACAGCAGGCTGAGGCGGGTCGCCGAGCAGTGCATAACCCCGCTCAGCCTCCACCGCTGTACCAGCCATAGATATGACCAGCGCTCTTGGTAGCTTTCTCGAGGTTACCGCAAGAGTTTGAGAACATTAAGCATGATTACTACTAGATTATAAGGCGTTGTAGAGTGTAGCGCAGGAGTGAATCTACTCCTTCAGCACGCGGGGTGCCGTGTTTCTGTACGCCTCCGTGCTTCCTTCGAGCTCCGCGAGGCTAGAGCGCCAGATACGCTTCGTGTTGGGGTACCTGCTCGTGACGACTGCGATCTCGAGTCCGACGCCGAGCGCGATAGCCCCGACAGTGACCCACGCGAGAATGCCAGCGACGAAGGGCATGCGGCAGTTGATGGCGGGAGTGAACGAGGGGTTGCTGCTCATGTACCTGTTGCACACGCGCACGCCGTGGAATAGCTCGGACTGGTATCCGGCCAGCGCGGCGCCGAGAGCAACGAGCAGCTCCCGCGCAACGAAAGAACTAAGGAGGGAGGTGAAGCGAGACGACGGTTTTCTGGCTGTAACTGTGAACCTAGAGTTAGGAGGATGAGACTGGGGTCACGCACGAAGACACGAAGTACAAGAATGCGACGGCACCAAAGACGATCCCGCAGATCAGTTGATCAGCATATCGAGACATGATCCGCTCCCAGTACGCGGCAATCATGAGGGCAGCGAGCGCCGTAGCAAATGTGGCAGCACCGAGGAGAAAGCCAAGGGTATCGGTACAGAGACGAAGAGTGCGGGCCGATATCGTCACGGGCGGCGTCATATTCAGTGGAAACAAAGGGAGGATGAGCGATGGGTTGAGAAGTATAGAGCCAGAAAGATGCACTGCAGGCTGAGCCTCCCAACGACACTGCGAACATGGCGTTGAGGCCCGTGAGCCCCGCTTGGCACTCCCCTTCTGCGTCTGTGCGCGATTCGGATCCGGCAAGTCTTCGAGCCGCAACGTCGCGTCGGAGTTCCGTGCTCTAACAAGGAGAGGAGGATGGGCAATCCCAGACCCCGCGGCGGAATGGGCCGCGCTCGGCTAGGTCATCTAGACAAGCTCATCGAATTACGCATACAAGGTGAGATTGTAAGGCGTTTTAATGATACAGAGGAACGCTGGTTCTTGAGTTGCGTCACGCATGCAGAGGCGGGTTGAGCGACCTCACGTCGTCGCGCACCTCGGTGCCGTGTTCGAGCGCGGCAATGCTGGATCGCCAAGTCCGCTTCGTGTTGCCGTATCTGCTCGTGATGACCGCGATCTCGACCACGACCGAGATGGCAATCACGCCGACGGTGATCCACGCCAGGATGCCAGCGGCGAGAGGGAGATTACAGTTTGCCGCTGGTCCGGGGTTGCCATCGATGTTCAGGCGCCGGTAGCGTCTGCACTCGCGTACGCCCGTGAAGATGGTGGACTGGTATCCGGCCATGGCGGCGCCGAAGACAAAGAGGAACCCGCGCACGAGAACAGACGTAAACAAGGATGTGAAGCGTGATTGCGGCTTGGCAGCTGTCACGGAAAGACTTGATGAGTCAGTCTCGGGTGGCGAGTTCATGGGACTCACGAGGAGATGTAGTAAGCAATAGCCACCGCGCCAAAGACAGTGCCGCAGATGAGCTGGGCGGCGTAGCCCGAGATGATGCGTTCCCAAGATCCCGCGATGCAGACGGCGGAGAGAGCGGTCGCGAACGTTGCCGCGCCGAACGTGAAGCTAAGCGCGTCGGTGATATTGCGCAGAGCTCGTACTGAGATTGTCATGGTGCTGATTTCCTGAAGGAGAGTGGAGAGAGGCGGTGTGCGGACATTGCTTGGTGGAGGCGGGGCTGGGTTACTTATACTTCGCCGCTGACCCCGCGCTCCGAGCTCGGCGGCGATCGCGGCGGGCTAGCAGTCTTGGCACTCACCGCCGCCACGTGCCTCCGTTTCATGATAAGGTTCCCATCTCGGTACCCGGCATTCCATGAAGCGTCCCAAACGTCAGCACAAACATCACAGGCACATGGATAGCCAACATTGGCAGGGCCCTGAAGGTCTGAGGGACAGTGTCATGCATTAGATATTATACGGCGTGTTATTCAATTATGGAGACAGATTATTCGATGAGCAGATTAGACAGGTAGATTATAACGATTGCGTCCCGCGCGGTAGTCTAGATATAGATGGTGACGGCTTAAACACTGAGAGAACGCTTGTCCTCCTCGGGGAGGCGCTGGGTGTTGGGCAGCTCGAGGAGGCTAGCTCCCCAGGTGGAGCGTGTGCTGCCGTACCGCTTCGTGAGGGCCACGATCTCGGTGATCATGGACAGCGCGATCTGTTGTCAGCTTCCTCCCTGCGATTGGCACTTACAGCAGCAACAGTGAGCCAAGCGAGAATGCCCGACGCAAGCGGCAGCTGGCAGTTGGCGTCCGAGCCGCCGCCGTTGAACCGGCTGGAGCCGCTGTAGCGGCTGAGATAGGCTGAGCAGACACGGTATGCGTCGAAAATGGTCGACTGATAGCCGGCGAGCGCAATGCCGATGACGAGGAGGACGCCGCGCGTGATGGTGGTGGTCCGGAGGGACGTGTAGCGCGATTGGGGCTTGGCGCCTGTCACTGCAAGTCTGAAGCGTCAGCTTTGGAGTAAGCGGATACCCACGAGGAGATGAAGAACGCCGTTGATGCCCAGCCGAAGGTCGTGCCGCAGATGAGCGCGCCAAACTGGCCAGACATGATACGCTCCTCTGAGCCGGCGACGTGGAGGGCGGCGATGGAGACGGCGCCAGTGGCCACGGAGAGCACGAGGCAGATGGAGTCGGTGGCGTTGCGCAGGCCGCGGGGAGAGAGCGTCATGGTGGGTGTAGTCGTGTCGGGTTCGTGTGGATCAACATCGACAAAGACGTAGTCGAGTTATAAGGAGTTCGGAGTTGTTAGCGGCGTTGTTGTTGCTCACGTGCATAGCACCGCCCCGCCGAAGACGGACACTTGCGCGCAGTATGTCGGTTCCGAAGTGCGCAAGGGCAGCGGCGTAGGGTCGCCGATGCCAAGACATTGCGGTAGCAGGCTGGTGCTCCACTAGCGATGCGTGCTGCGGCGGCCGCCGTGATGCGGTGAGGAAGTGATACGCACGCCGACCTTGCGGGGCAGGGATTGCGGAGAGAATGAGAAGGCACCAGGGTGAATTAACGGCATATTGCTGAATTAGGCATGTGACTGGCATGCGCTACCATGACGATCTTCTTAAACTCTCGACGTTCGCGCGCACTCCTTCGTGCACAGCGCAGTGCAGACGCTGCTGCGGGTTTCTAAACTCCCTGAACCAGCCGCTGACGCAACAACGCTCGCCAGGATAGCTTCTGAGCGGGCAGAACACCTGAACCCTGACGAACTTTCAGTCTGCATCTGGCGATAACTGCAGAGCAATCCATCGCTTCTCTGTCACTCTTTCCTCTCCTCCACGTGCTTTTCGACAGGACTTTGTCCTGCGCTGCTCTCGCAAACATCAGCAAGCACCTGGGGGCGTCTAGCTCAGTTGGTAGAGCGCGTCATTAGCATCTAGCTAGCATTGACGAGGTCTTTGGTTCGATTCCTAAGTCGTCCAGGTAACACTACGAGGCAAGAGGGTCCAGAGGCAATAATAACCGGCGCAAAGGGGACGGCGAGCAGGCGGATCTGCTGGTTCAGTTCGGCAGCAGCGAGCTCAATGTCGCTCTTATCCTGCTGCTGCTGCTGCTCCGAAGGAGCAGCGTTCTAGCTGTCAGCTCAAACTTCTTCCTCATCAAGCTGTCCCTAACTCACCTCATCGCGCGAGCCAAACTCGGGCGTCCCGCTCCTCTCAGTGCGCACGTCGACATCAATCTCGACAGAGGTATACCCCTTTTCGGCAAACATGGCCGACCAGTCCTGCCAGTTCTCCTGGCCCCTTGGCCTCCTCGCTGCCTCCTTCCAATCCACACCGGGGGTTTGGAGGAAAATGAGGGGCGTCGGACTCTCGCGCGCTGTTAATCATGTTCGGCTGGGGCAGCGACGAAGAGGAGGAGCAGTACGCCTCGGACCACTCGTCCCACCACTCTGAGGCCTCTCACCATTCCTCGCATCATTCGTCTCACCATTCGTCCCACCATTCTTCCTCGTCTTCTTCTTCCTCTTCCGACTCTGATGAGGAAGCCCCATCGGCAATCGCCTTCTGTGAAGTGGTCAGCTTGCCTGCTCATAGATTACTAAGCTTACGTCCAAGAAGTTGGAGTTGCTCATGGTATGTTCTGATGAGGGATGCGGTGCGAAGGGATGATGTGTTGATCGGAGGGTTGTTGGTTGTTGGTGCGTCGGGCGGCGGCGGTTGCAGTGGCTTGGCTGGTGCGATGACGAGTTTGTGACTGGGGATCCACACTGAGCGCCGAGCCGCGGGCGGGCTTGATTTGGCCCCGCTTCACCCACCAAGCACTCCCTGGCCCGGTCCGTCCTCCTCTTTGGTCCTTTCGTTGATCCCCTCATCACCCGGCCTCCATCCACCCGTGCATCACTGCATCCACCATGGCAAGCGCATCGGGGTACAACTACCATCGCTTCGCGCGCGCTGTCCTCAAGAAAGCTCGCAAGTGGGAGCCTTCTCTCAGCATCCAGCTCTACCCGACCTACTGGCGCTTCGAGCATTCAGTGAGTACCCTGCCTCCACCGGGCTGGTGGACACATCCGCCATCATGACTGACCACGTCCAGGAAATCAACTTCCTCTACGATGGTCCGATGAAGCCCTTCCTCATGGCCTTGCGTGCGCAGGTCATCCCCGCAGCACTAATCCCCTTCCTGTATGACATTCGCCCGCCCGTGTCCTTCGTCGACGGATGTCTAGTCGTAGAAATACAGGATTTCCGAAAAGGTCCAGAAACGCGGAGTCGAGTGGTCATGCGACCAGCACCAGAGACATTGCCGCTCACGATCGATAACATGCTCTCGCGACGGCAAGAGCGGTGGGACGACAACATGACGCTAGAACTAGAGTCTCGCATCATGGTGAGTTTGCCAGGCCACTGTTGGTAACTAACTTCAGGCCGCCACATCACCTCCCCTCTATCTGGGCACATCGATCATGGCTTCGCGAAACGCGGCTCTGTCACTGGCGCTGACGGCTCCGGCAGCCCCAAACGTTGGTGCCGATGGCCAGTTCCGCTCCAACGCGCACAAGGGCGAGGAGGAAGACAACGAGCTCGAGTCGATCCGGAAGCTGCTCGGCGCCGGAACACGGAGCCAAGCAGGCGCCTTCCAGCCCAACTGGTCTGTCTTACGGCTTCTGGAGCGGATCAAGGCGCACAACAAGCAGAAGGAGTCGGAGGCCGCGGCGCGGGCAGCCGGGCAAGCGAAGCAGCTGCCCACGGGAGGACCAGGCGGTGGTCCTCCGCCGCCAACGAACGAGGAGAAGAAGAAGTCGAAGAAGAAGCGCCCAGCAGCCGAGGCGGCGGACGACGGGGAGAAGAAGCCAGCAAAGAAGAAGAAGGCTGCTCCCAAGGTTGCGCCTGCTGCCGAGAAGGAGAAGGACAAGTACCTCCCCAACGACATTGTGCTTGACGGATCCAAGGGACGCCAGTCCCAGCTCGCCAAGAAGATCACGCCCGGACAGCATCTCGAGAACCAGCAGGTCTTTGGTGCCTTCAACGCGCACGCGATCCAGCTCCAGGCCGCCGTCAAGGCCGACGGGCGGTGGCGCATCATCGTCTTCCCCGGCGACGTGCGCAACGCGGACCGACTGCAGGCGTACAACGCCCTCGGCGAGGACCTCGAGCAGCTCAGCAAGACGTACACGCCCAAGGACGCCGACCCGGACGCCGTCATCCAGACCCTCACCGTCTTCGACTCGCCCCACAAGGACGTCCAGTACCTTGCTGGCAAACTGCCCTCTGTCTACCTCCCGAGGCGCAAGCCGTGGAACATCCGCGCCTTCGACACGGCCTTCACGGACGAGGACACGTACCACGATGGACCATGCGCGGCGTACAAGGGCTACGGCATCGACCCCAACGTCGGCGCTGTCATCGTCGTCCGGCCGGATCAGTACGTCTCCGGCGTCTTCCCGATGGACGGAGGCAAGGACATTGCCGCTTTCTTTGACCGCTTCATGATCCAGCAGCAGTATTAGAGTGTTGTCTTGTGGTTGATATTTTGTACATGCATCTATGTTTATCAGTGCATCTGGGGACAGAGCAGAGACGAGTGGGAGAGTGAGAGAAGAAACGAAGGGTTGATGAGATGAAAGCCGTCGCGACTAGTTGCCGTTGCCACCTGCCTGTTAGCTAAAGGATGCCGGATAAGCTGAAGCGGCAGGTTTAGCTAACATCAGGCTGGGACACGGCCGGCACCGAGTCCTTCCGCTCCATCACGCGCAGCTACTTCCGCGGCGCAGCAGGTGCTTTGCTAGTGTACGACGTGACAAGGCGAGAGAGTAAGTCTAGTCACTGGCTTATCATCTCCCAGGTCCTCTGCTGGGATGGGAATGTAGCGGTGCTCGCTGCGCTCGCACTCGTGCTAACGGTAGCCTTTGAGCACGTAACCTCCTGGCTAGACGACCTGCGCACACACGCCGAGGAGAACTGCTCCATCATCCTCGTCGCGAACAAGACCGATCTCTGCTGCAATACGCCAACGGCCCTGCCGCAGATCCAATTCGGGGAGGCAGTGAGTCCCTCAGATGTGGACCCGGTGGACCCGGTGGATCCGGTGGATCCGGAGGAGACGCCCTCCACTCCGACATCCCCCTCTGCCGCTTCCGCTTCCGCCAGCGACTCGAACTCAAACTCTGCGTCAGGGTCGGGGTTGCTGCCCCGCGCCGTGTCGACGCTCGAGGGCGCGTTCTTCGCGAAACAGCACGGGTTGCTCTACGTCGAGACGAGCGCGAAGGAGGGATGGGGCGTCGTGGACGCGTTTGAGTGGACGGCGAGGCAGATGCTGGAACGTATTGAGCAGGGCCAGGTCGACCGGAAAGCCAAGACGGTCGAGCTGGGTAAGGGCCGGAATGGCGCCAAGGGGGGTTGCTGCTGAGTTTGTTGGGATTTGTATATCATGTAATTTTCTCCTTATGTTAGACTTAAAGTACTACTGTTACAACTAGAGTTCTACTCTACGCTCTACGCTCTACGACGGTCTCGATTGCGCGAAGGGCGGACCTCCAACCCGGGAACTAAGGGCCCCTCGGCCGATCGGCCGTGGGGTCATCGGAACACAGCCTGCACCCTGCGCGAGATATCCTCGGGCGTGCCCTTGAGATACTTGTCGAAACCCTTATTGTGCCCCTTGGTCCAGAACGCCTTGTACCCCGTCCTGACAATCTCGTCCGCCTCGGCGCCGACGCGGTCGCGAAGGTCGGGATCGGCCCTATTCAGCGGATAACTGCGACACTGCGTCTCGAGCTCGGCGAGGCGCTCAAAGAAAGCTGCTGCTGCTTCTTTCGTGGACTGTTTCTCGGACGCGCCGCCGACGCCGAAGCGCGCGTGCGCCGTGTGCTGGAGCAACTTTGTCAGGTCGGACCATTCGCTGAGGTATCGCCTGGAATGTTAGCTAGCAGAGGAGGCAGAAAGCTTACGCCTTGGCATCCCGGAAGGCCTTGTTCATCATGTTCTCGGCCGAGACGCCCACGCAGTCGGCGTGGAACGATGAGGTCGTATTTCTTATGTGCGACACTGGGAGTTAGTGTCAATCGCTGGACAACTCACGGTTGTTCAGGAGATAGGTGTAGGATGCCATCTTGCGCATGGGTCCGGCCTTCTGCTCGAGGTGCTGGATCAGCGCGCCGAGAATGTCGGCCACATAGAGGTTGAGCACGCCGCCTTCCTCCTCTGCGCTCTTGGCTGGTGACGGCGGGGGCAGGCCCATGAGCCATGACCGCTCTCCGCGTCCACTCCGCAGGAGACCGTCCACGACGCTGCCAAACTTGGGCAGCACCTCGAGGTACGACAGCGTCGAGTGCGTGACGGGGTCGACGCCGACGTTGGCCACATTGTTCCGTGACGGGTTGCGGATGTCGACGAGTCGCTCCGGGAAGGACCGCTGGGCGAGCTGTTTCAGCACCGCCATCGCATTCGGCAGCACGGCGGCGACCTCCTCCGCTTCCCGCGTCCCGAAGATCTGGCCGAGGCGCGTGTCCAGCTTGGCCTGAAACTCGATCAGGTTCGCGTATAGGTCGAGAAGCAGCATGGTCTGCCCCGTCAGGTCACGTTTGATGCTGGCCGTGACGTTGTTCATGACACCGGTCAGCACTGGTGTCGCGTAAGAGAGCACCTTGCCGACGAGCATTTCGCCAGATGCACCAGGCATCAGCTGCGATTGCAGCGCGACCTCCGCCTGATCGTCAGCTATGATCGACAGATTCTAAGCTTACCTCTCCAGCGGTCAGGAAGCCCTCCCACAGGTTCATGACGGCGCGGACCTTCTCCCCGCCCTGGTTCGCATCCCAAGATCCGCCGTCCTCGTCCACACGAGCTGCGGCGGGAGCGAGTGATTGCCGGAACCACTCGCCGCGGATGCCTCCGAGATCAGCGATGCAGTCGTCAAAGATCGGCGCGAGAAGACCGGTCGTTTTCGACGTTGGCTCGTCGGGGTACACCATCGTCGACAGCGGGGCGGACAGGTGGCGAATGCGCGGGAACTCGGGGAACCATGTCAGCGGTTGCGGCACTGTCGAGCCGGCCAGCGACGCGGGGTTGAACGGCCGTGGAAGGCCTTCCTTCGTTTTCCGGAGCAGGAGTTCGACGAGCTTGCCGTACGCCTCCTCGACGAGGTTGCCGAGCGACTCGACGCCAGCTGCCCGGTCGCCACCCCTTCCCTCGAGCAGCGCGCGGTTCATGTCCTCCAGCTCCTGGATCACACCCTGCAGCGCAGCCATGTACTCGTTCAGGCTCGACAGATCGGGTACCCGCGCAAGCACACCCCGGTCCGTGCCGGACGAGATACCCGAGTCCCACTGCGACGGCGGCGGCACCTCGACGCTGGGCGACATGGAGGCCTCCTCCTCCTGCCAGCGGGGCACGTTGTCTGGCCGAGAGACAGCCCTTCCCCGGTCCATGATCGAGCCGTGCTTCCGCCGCTTGTCGGCTCTGCTCTGCGTCGACACGGCCACGGGCGGTGGGGGGACGTCAATGATGCTGCTGTGCACGCTTGCGAGGGCTGCAGAGTTGTAAGACTCTTGTCGGGAAGGCTGTGGTCGGGCTGCGGCCGTTGATCCAGGCGCCAGCGTCTCGAGCACGGCATCGAGATTCTTGGAGGTGTACGACAGTTGGCGAATGCCGAGGGGTGCGACCGACTTGTCCAGTCGAGACAGGCGCGAGTCGAGCTGAGACAGGATGGCTGCGGTCAGAAGACAAGGAGGGGAGGGGGAGTGATGCTCACTCTTCATGCGCTGGCTGAGGGCGTTGGTCTTGATCAAGTGCTGGTCCTGGGGATGATCAGTGATGTGTCGGGCAAGGTGAGCTCACGAGTAGAGCGAGGTCGGTCTCCTCGTCGACGGAGAGGGAGCCCGATGCGCCTGCCCCGCCTCCGTCCTGGGTGATGGCCATAGTGTGAGATGGGAGGGTAGCCTGGTGGACGAGAGGTAGGAGGGTCTGGAGGAGAGTGTCGGAGGAAGGTCGTCGCAGGTCGTCGCGGGTGGATGTCACAGAATGGATCGATGTGCGCGTCATGAGGCGGCACGCCCTGCTTCTTGCCGCTCGATCGGATCGTTGGCAGAAGGGTGCGTGGGTTTCACGTGTGTGTTTCCCTGAGCAGCCTTGGAGAGCGGAAGCAGAAAACGAGGGTGGAGGTGGTGGAGGTGGTGGAAGGGCCCGTGCGGTGCCACAGGGGCGGTGTGATAAAATTTCAGAGCTTGTGTGTACGTGGCGTGTGGGCAGAGCTGCGCGCGTGGGTGTGTGCGTGTGTGGGTGTGCGTGCGTGTGAGAGTTGAGTGAGTGAGTGAGTGTGTGCAGGATCGGGATGGGCGGGCGACATTCCTCCGGTCCAGTGGCCCAGTGCCCGCTTAGCAGCTCCGGAGAGTCGAGCGCCGCGCGGTGCGCCGTACGCGCGCGTCTTCCCCCGCCCATCGGACGACTATCATCCAACATGCTATAGCCCGATTAGCGGAGGCAGTTTTCGGGTGCCCTCCCTACAACAGCACGCGCGCCCAAGCCCCCCCCGCGTCAGCTCACACATGCACACACCTTTCTCAGCCCTCACTCAGCCAGTCACAGCCGGTCCTCAGCCTGCGTTCCAGCACTCACCCCAGGGTCTCCCCGATCTTTCTCCCATATTTACAAACGTGCAACCCATTTCTTCTTTCTTCCTCATCCCCACCCCCCCTTCCAAAACAAAAAATGGCCCCCCAGCAGATCAAGTTCAAGGTCGCCGACGAGTCCCTCGCCGCCTTCGGTCGCAAGGAGATCGAGCTCGCCGAGCACGAGATGCCCGGTCTCATGGAGATCCGTCGCATCCACGGCCCCAAGCAGCCCCTCAAGGGTGCCCGCATTGCCGGCTGTCTCCACATGTAAGTCACTACACTCTGAACAGCCGCTGACATCCAGGACCATCCAGACCGCCGTCCTCATCGAGACCCTCGTCGCTCTCGGTGCCGAGGTCACCTGGTCGTCGTGCAACATCTTCTCGACCCAGGACCACGCTGCCGCCGCCATCGCCGCCGCCGGTATCCCCGTCTTCGCCTGGAAGGGTGAGACCGAGGAGGAGTACCTCTGGTGCATCGAGCAGACCCTTACCGCCTTCCCCGACGGCAAGCCCCTCAACATGATCCTCGACGACGGTGGTGACCTCACCACCCTCGTTCACGAGAAGTTCCCCCAGTACCTCGACGGCATCTACGGTGTCTCGGAGGAGACCACCACCGGTGTCCACCACCTCTACCGTGCCGCCAAGGAGGGCAAGCTCAAGCTCGCCGCCATCAACGTCAACGACTCGGTCACCAAGTCCAAGTTTGACAACTACGTGAGTTTTCAGAAATCGTCGTGCCTGAGGGTGGATCACGTGTTTCACCCGGTTCAGGATCACGACGTGTCTGTGTGTGTGCATCGTTTTGCTGACGAAGCCAGTACGGCTGCCGCGAGTCGCTCGTCGACGGCATCAAGCGTGCTACCGACGTCATGATCGCCGGTAAGGTCGCCGTCGTCGCCGGCTTCGGTGACGTCGGTAAGGGATGCGCCGAGTCGCTCCGTTCTTACGGTGCCCGCGTCCTCGTTACCGAGATCGACCCCATCAACGCCCTCCAGGCCGTCATCAACGGCTACGAGGTTACCACCATGGAGGACGCCGCTCCCCGCGCCAACATCTTCGTCACCACCACCGGTAACCGTGACATCATCACTGGCAAGCACTTCGAGGTCATGCCCGACGACGCCATCGTCTGCAACATCGGCCACTTCGACATTGAGATCGACGTCGCCTGGATCAAGGAGAACGCCAAGGAGTGCGTCAACATCAAGCCCCAGGTCGACCGCTTCACCATGGCCAACGGCCGCCACGTCATCCTCCTCGCTGAGGGCCGTCTCGTCAACCTCGGCTGCGCCACTGGCCACCCCTCGTTTGTCATGTCCTGCTCGTTCGCCAACCAGACTCTGGCCCAGGTGGCTCTCTGGGAGGACCGCGATGGCGACAAGTACCGCCGCGGGGAGGTGTATGTTTTGCCAAAGACCTTGGACGAAGAGGTCGCTCGTAACCACCTCACGCAGCTTGGCGTTAAGCTCACCAAGTTGACCCCGGTGCAGGCTGAGTACCTGGACCTGAACCCCGAGGGACCTTACAAGCCCGAGCACTACCGCTACTAAGCTCCTGGCGTCCTTCCTGACGTCTCAGATCGATTGTAAGTTGGAAAACGGGCGAGATATGGTCGAAAAAATGCAGAAGTGTGGCTGACGTGAGCAGTCCCCAACATCATTAAACCCGTGTAGTCTCAACATTGTACATATACGCAAACGACAAAATATCCAGCATCAACTGCTTCTAGTGTTTCCACATCCCCCTGCACCTTGATATATTATGAATTCAATGGTTGCAACACGAAAAAGGACGTTGCAAGTTGTCGCGAAGATTTCTCGAATTTCCACTCACGACAGCTGCCACTGGACCTTGTGCCACTGGACCTCCACTCCGCCGTCCACCATATCTTATCGAGTGTGTGTCACACAGGTCTGATCTGCCGAATGTCGGATCGGCTGATCCAACAAAGTAGGGCGCTGACGCATCGGATCCGGTCGCCGTGCGCCCGCATCGTGACACTTCTGGCACGTTTCAAGTCCGTTCGTTGCACCGGATCTGAAACTGGACGAGATCGCTTCTTCGTCGAGATCGTGATCCACACTCACACCGCACACCCCTGCACGTCGCACTCGAAGTTTCGCAGCGGCGCAACAGTCACTCCACCGTGCCGCGACAAACATCCCGCGTATTGCAATCCGCACATATATAACAACCTGCTAACCCGGCCCGATCTCTCAGTCTCCTCAAACTTTCCCTGCCACCCCAGATTTGCGCTGTCGACACTACATCCAACCATGCCCAACAGCGACAAGACCGAGAAGGCGGATTCCCCCGAGCCCAAGCCCGTCAAGTACGACCCCGCAACCGACCCGGCAAGAACGCTCTACGAGCGACGCGTGTACCCATCCCTCGCCGAGATCGATCTCTCCTTCCTCCAAAACCAGCCTCCATTTAGCCTGGCCTTGCTGCGCGAGAATGCGCGCAAGCAGGAGGAGGAGGAAGGTATGTCCCCCTCTTATGCTCTGGAATCCGACAGACATGTCCTCAGTGCATCCTGAGCATATCCCCGGAGTGCCCAGAACGCAGCAGCTGGACTCTTCGTGCGACTGAAAGCTGACCCGTGCTCAGCCAAGGCTCACCGATGGATCGAGAACGGCATCGCCTACGTCAACCGCGAGAAGGACCGGATTGCCGGCAACGAGGTGCGGATCAAGGCGCATCTCCAGAGGCGTGTGCGGGAGTATGCCGAGGCGCTGCTGGCCGTGCTGGCCGAGGAGTCACCCAGGCCCGAGCCAGGCAAGCCCGGCAAAGCCAGGCTGAGCGACCACCAGGCCATTTGGTGGTCCGACGGCCTGCTCCAGATCTCCGCAGCCCTCTTCCGCGAGCGCGAACTGTGAGCTACTTCGTCCACGATGAAAGCTGACACAAGGTACGCCCGCTTCCCCTTGATTCCGCACGACTCCCTCGGCCCCGAGATCATCATCGACCGCGAGCCCGGCACGTCCTGGACCGACAAGCCCATCGATGACTGGGTCGATTTCGTCGATATGCAGATGTACATGGGATTCGAGGCTGTAAGTTCCCCCCATGGAGTGGAACTGACGATGTAAAGGCGGTCGAGGGGATGGTGAACAACAGCGAGATGCACGTGTGGCGGCACCCCCGCCTCGACGGGACGGAGGGTGTGGAGGAGATGGCCGACGTGATGAGCAAGGCGTGTCTGGAGAAGGCGGGGTTTCCGGAGCAGGGATCTTTGACGGAGCAGGTGTTGGGGAAACGTCGCGATAGCCCGTGGATGTGGAACCCCGATGACTGAGGCTACCGCTCGTGTGGACGCGCAGCGGGCCTGCGCGTCTGCCCTAGTTGATGTTAGCAGTTCTGTAGATTGCCAATTCTCTGCACACTTGTTCCCCTAACTCGGGCTATGTCATCCAGAACTGTGTTGTCATTCTCGTAGCGACACCTTGTCGTCTTTGCACAAATGGGGCGGTGACACGTCCCCTTCCACTCCTCCCCAGCACTTCTTGACCCATCCTCACGATCATCCAGGAGGGGTCCAACTGATGTAATGCGTCGTAGGCTAGTGGAGCCACCAGCAGTTGTATGATCGCAAAGAGGAAGGAACGACACAGGCACGACCGGCAGATAAGATTAAGATATCAGCCCGCATCTCGGAATCGAAGCTGATGCCGAGGCCGGAGCGGTCGTCGTAGCTACCTCGATCGTCGGCGGACTCCGATGCTCGGACTTCACGGCGGCACTCTCGAGGACATTGCCTCGCCCTCGATACAGAGCACTGCCGGCTCGTCGACGCCTCGCCGTGTAAGCTACATCCACCCTGACGTCAGTCCGCATCACCACTCTCTATACTTAGCACCCCGGAAGCGACCTCAGAACCTAGCTCTGCACACTCGACGACCGCCCGCTCCACCCATGTTCTGTCGTGCACATCGCTCGTTCCGGCAACCCGGTCCCATCAGAAGCACTGCGGCGAACACGGCACGTTTCCGAACACGACGCCCACCTGCCATCCCTGTCACCATTAAGGTTGCGCTATCTTGAGACACTCAATTAATTGCGGGCCAGAGTTTGCTCGGAAGCTCCACTGCACTGCCCACTTTCGGATCCGGAAGCGTGAGCATGAGCGAGAAGTGTGAAGCATGAAGCATGCCCATGGAAGCGTGGAAGCATGGAACGTGTTCTCTGCTCTCGGACTGCGGGCAGATCGGCGAATTGGCTATTCCTGGCAAACCATGGAACCCGTGTCACGCGGGGAACGTGCCGGCTGCAGCAGCGGGTGTACGGATCAAAGCTGAGGAGACCGAGATGTCATATCGATCGGTCATCTGGCCTAGAGCGTCCTGAAGTTGGCACATTGGACTTACATGCTCCTGATGCCCGAGAAAGGACTAGCGCGGGATGCACGTTGTTACGCAGTGCGTGGGGAGGAGCTGGTCGGGGAGACTGCCGACGATGGTTACTTGGGCTCGAGAAAGGTATATAAGACGGCCGGCTGCTGCTCGAGACAGACATCGACTTGCGCTGAACAAACAGTGAGTCCGCCCCGCGACCCAGCTGACCCCAGTGCTCCTCTCCGCTATCACTTCCCTCGCCCTCGCCGTCTCCGCGCTCGCCGCGGGCCCCGGCCCCTACCCCGTGAAGGAGACGCTGCACTGCCGCTCCAGCCCCAGCACGTCCGGCAAGATCGTCAAGGACTACCCGAAGGGCACCAAGATCAAGCTCTCGTGCTACTCGCGCGGCCAGTCGATTGGCGGCAACACGATCTGGGACAAGACGACCGACGGCTGCTTCGTCGCCGACTACTACGTCACGACGGGCACTACCAACCCGGTCGTTGCGGCCTGCAGCGGCGGTGGCGGCAGTGTCTCGCCCTGTCCGTCGATCAACGACGCGGGCATCGCCCTGATCAAGGAGTTCGAGGGCTTCTTCAAGAACCCGTACAAGGACCCCGTCGGGCTCTGGACGGTCGGATACGGCCACCTCTGCGCGAACGGGGGCAAGGACAGCTCCTGCTCCGGCACCGGCTTCAAGTACCCTCTCACTGAGGCGACGGCGACCGAGCTGCTCAAGAAGGACCTGCCGAGCTACACCTCCTGCTTCCCCAAGTACCTCACGAGCGGCGCCAAGCTCAACAAGAACCAGTACGCCGCACTCACGAGCTTCACGTTCAACCTCGGCTGTGGCGTGCTCAAGGACTTTGCGGGCCGCCTCAACAAGGGCGAGGACGCCAGCACGGTCTTTGCCCAGGAGTTCCCCAAGTACGTCCACGCGGGCGGAAACGTGCTCCAGGGCCTTGTTAGGCGCAGGAACGCAGAGGTCGCGCTCGCCAAGAAGGCCGGGTCCACCGAGGCCTGGCCCAAGTGTGCCAAGTAGAGTCATAACAAAGTAAAAGTGAATGAATCAGATGTTGGAACTTTGCCACGTGCTCAATGTCAGTGACTCGCCACAGCCTATGGTATCTATGCATAACACTAGTCTAGGCGTTCATGGCGGCCTCCTCGTCGGTGGGGGCGGGGGTGGCCTCGGTGCTCATGGCGGGAGTCTCGAGGCTTGCAGATGTCCTCGCCAAAGACGCGGTTGGAGAGGACGCTCTTCTCGCGCTTGTCGATGAGGAGGGACATGCTGCTCTTCGCCTTCCAGCACGGCAGGTACAGGGGCAGGTTGAGCTTGCCGCCCGCGCCCTCGCCGGCCTCGAAGAGCACGAGCATGTTGCCAAACTCGGCCGCCTCGCACGTGTCCCGGAACGCGCCCTCAAACTTGGCCACGGGCGGGTACATCTCCTCGAGGAAGGTGCGGAGCTCCTGGATGCCCGCCTTGACAATCTTGTCCTCGGGCACGTACCGCACGACGCCGAGGATGCCGTCGCTCGACACGCGCCACTTGCACTGAATGTCCGAGCGGCTCTGCGAGTCCTGCCGGATAAACGCCTTGACGCCCGCGCTGATCATGCGCAGCCGCGTGTAGTCGTTGTTGAGGATCACCGCCTTGACGAGGTCGTTGACAATGTAGATCGTGCGCAGCGGGTTGCCGTACTCGTTGCGCACGAGCAGGTTCTCGGCAGGGAAGTCGGGCGTCATCCCGAACCACTTCTTGACCGTCTCGAGCTCGGGGTGCGACGGGTCCACAAACCCGAACGGGTCCTCGCGGAACGCCAGGTCCCGCTTCGCCTTCTTGTCCTGCGGCTCCTGCGGCGCGTCGCTCTTCAGCTTCTTCGCCTCGCTCTCCTCGGCAGACGGAGACAGCTCGCGCTTGGCCGGAACGGCAACAGCCTCCTCCTCCTTCTCCTCAAACTTCGACTTGACCTCGCGCTTGACGAGCGACGAGGCGGGGACGACCGTCGGCTCGCTCGTGCCCTTCTTCTCGAGGACGCAGACAAAGAAGCCGCCCGTGTTCTGGTCGTGGGGCAGCAGACGCAGGGCGCGCTCGAGGTGCAGCTCGGCGGCGTTGGCGGGCGCCCAGCACGAGGCGGGGAGGGGGCTCTTGTTGTCGCGCTCCGAGCCCGACTCGGCGCGGTACGCCTCGTACGCCTCGTGCGACTCGTGCCACTTGATGTTCTCGTCCTTGTCGCGGGTCGCGACCTTCCATTCGTGGATGCCGGGGCGGCGCTTGAGCTCGGGGAGCTTGTCGGCGACGTCGACAATCTCAAAGTCGGGGTGCGTGTTGAGCGCGGCCGCGACGACGGCCTCGTTCTCGGACGGGTTGAACGAGCACGTCGAGTACACGAGGCGGCCGCCGGGCTTGAGCATGTTCATGGCGCGCTCGAGGATGCGCAGCTGCACCGTGTGCAGCGAGTTGCCGTCAAACGGCGCCCACTTCTTCCAGATCTCGAGGTTCTTGCGCATCGTGCCGTCCCCCGAGCACGGGACGTCGGCGAGGATGCGGTCGTACTTGATGTTGCCGGCGCCGGGGCCGAGGGAGATGTTCGGGAACTGCGTCGCGTCATTGTTGACAACAATGAGGCCCTTGGAGGGCATGCGGCCCGTCTGGTGCACGAGCATGTGCGTGCGCTTGTAGTCGGCATCGTTGGCGATCAGCATGCCCGTGCTCTCGGTGTGGTGCGGGTTGAGCGCCTCGATGATCTGCGCCGTCTTGCTGCCGGGGGCCGCGCACATGTCGAGACACACGTGGTGCGGCTCGACGTCCATGAGCAGGGGCGGGATCATGGACACGGCCTCCTGGCGGGACAGGTTGCCGACCTCGGTCTCGCCGACGAGGAAGCGCTGGAACTGCTTGAACGGCTCGCTCTTGCGCACAACACGCTTCGGCGCGGCAATCTCCCACGCGAGCTGCTCGGGGTACCACGGGATCGGCTTGGGCGGGTCGTACTTGACGCCGTCGAGCTCGACATTCTGCATCGTCGGGACGTACAGGTCCTTGATCTGGTTGTTGATAACGTCGGCGTGCGCGCGCGAACCGGTCACGCGGAACGTCGTCGGGAGCTCGACCTTGAGCGTGTCCATGAACTGGTCCCACTCGTCCTCGGGAACAATCTTCTGGGCCTGGGGTTAGCTTGGAGAGGATTGTTGAGCTACCTTGTAGTACTCCTCGAACTGCTCGTTGACCATCTTGTCGGGGGTGATGTCGTTCCAGCGGGGACCGTTGGTCCTGTTCTGCCTGGGCTCCGCATTCTTGCGGTTCTGATGTCAGCCAAGTAGGTGCGCTCTAGCCCACCTTCCAAGCGGATGCTCCCTTTCTCCTGCCCATGGTTGCTGGTTTGGTTGTTGCTGGGAGGCGTTTCTCTGGATATTTGGATCCTGGTCCGGCAACTTTTGAGTGAGTCACGTGAGCCACGCCTTTACTCCCGCCGCTCATCTCCGTGCCTGGGCGTTATCTTGCCACCGAGTGCTACGCAGGAGCGGTCCTTATAGTGGAAGTGGCCTGCTTAAGCAGTACGGATGCATAGGAGCACGTATGCGTATGCTTGTGCTGCTCAGCCTACCTCTCACAGTGAGAAGCGAAGGAAGGGTGGCGGAGTGAAGCCGCTGCGGTCGTGGGAAAGCTCTCGCGTGGTGGAGGCGGTGTAGCACCCTGGGACAGCGGTTTCGGACTGACATCGCTGCCTGTTGTTGACATCTGACATCTCACAAGCATAGACGTTGGCATGTCCGTCTTCGAGCGAATAGACGGCGTCCCACGTCTCGTCCACTTCCTCCCAGTGATCGGTTAGTCGCCCCATCGCCCTAACTGACTCCAGGCGTGCTCCTGATCATCGTCTCGACATGGCTCGCCTTCACATTCGCCGTGTCCATTAGCGAGGTGCTCCTGCACCGCAAGGACATTCCCTACTTCATCCTCCAGTGAGCTAACGGGTATGACATGTTTAGCTGACCCCAGGGTTACCGTGTTCCACGTCCTGCTCGGCTTGTCTGTCCTGTCATACATCGCCGTGGTCGCGCATCGCCCGCTGGCGCCGGATCTGTCGCTCGCACCGCCCGACGCCCGTCCTTTGCCGGGGTACGAGGAGTGGGACGAGGCGCACGAGGCGTCCCCGTCTGAGAACCCGCTACTCGAGGGGGTTCCCCCGCCTGCATCGCTGGCGCCGGTCGCTCGACCCGCGCCGATCCCAGAGCCCGATGACGACGACATACCACTGCGCCTGCTGCGTAACAGTCCAAGCCGCGATCCCGAACCCGCAGCGCCGGAAGAGACGGACGCACTCCTCGATGGATTCGACGGCCCGATCGCCATCATGGCCAAGAGCAACACGGGCGGGCCGCGGTGGTGTCGGAAATGCGATGCGTGGAAGCCCGACCGGTGCCACCACTGCCGCTCCTGCGGACAGTGTGTGCTGAAGAGTGAGCTGACGTGCGGACAAAGCTGACGACAGTGGACCACCACTGCCCGTGGGTCGCGAACTGCATCGGGTACCACAACTACAAGTACTTTGTACTGTTTGTGACGTATGCGGCCCTCCTCGCGCTCTTCGGGTGCAGCCAGGCTGCGCTTGAGGCGTATCGCTTCTTCCAGGATCCGTCGAGGTACGACGGCGGATCGTACCCCGAGAACGACATGGAGGCGCTGCAGCTCACGTTCACCCCGGTGCTGTTCCTCCTCCTCGCGATCATCGGCGGATCGCTCGCGCTCGCCCTCGGCGGTCTCGCGGGCTACCACTGGTATCTCATGATGTAAGCTGAGAATATCCCCTCGAGCTGACGCCAGGAACAACCGGACGACGCTGGAGGACATTGACCGGAGTCCGGCAACAGCCCTGCTGGACGCGGACACGCGCGCGACGCTTGAGGCTCTGGGCCCCAGAGGCAGCCGGCAACGCCTCCCCGGCGCCTGGCGGCCAGACCACATCCTGACCCGGCCAGAACGCACCCGGCTTCGCCGTGAAGCGCGCGAGATCAACGTGTACGACCTGGGCTGGGCGCGCAACGTGCGGCAGGTCATGGTCGGGGACGCCACGCTCCCTGCCGCGAGCTGGGGAGAGTGGGCGCGGGACGTCGCGCGTGCGGCGTGGCCCCTCACGCCTCCCCGGATGCAGAAGTATGCGCGGGGGCACGTGTTTGCGCACGACCGCGACGCGCTGCGCGACCTGAAGGCGCTGACGCGCGAGGTGCGGCTGGGGCTGGGAGCCGAAGCAGAACGGCGGGACAGCGACACGACGGTGAGCGCTGACAGCGACCGTGTGCCGCCGTACCGACGCTATGAGTGATGACATAGATGTATGTATTCCGAGACTGGGCGCAGCAAGGTTTGCGCGGGGTTGTACGTCAGTGGCGTGGGTGTGGGTGCGAGGCTGGCCAAGGTCAGCAAGATCTTTGTGTTTGGAGTGTGAGAGAGGTGGAAAGGGGTGGGTTGTGAGTGATTGGTCATTGGACGGGGTGCGGGTGCCTTGACATCATCATTCATCGCAGACCTCGCTAAGGGAAATGATTACCGGCGGATGGGGGAATCTGCCGTTTCTGCCCGCCCGCCGCGACTCGAGAGAGAGCCTAAGAGGGAGAGAATGCATGGCGTATGGCTGACTGCGGTGACTGCGGGCGACTCCCCCGCTGCAAAGACAGTCCGCATGCATCCATCGTTATCGTCAGACTCCTCCCCACCACCTTGTCATCTCTTCTTTTCATCTACTTCTCATCGCCGCGACACACACTCCACGCCCCCACCACGCACTCACAACGCCCAGCGCCTCCCCCTGCCTGAGCACGTCCCCGCACGCCCCCCTCCAAGGTGCGTCACCGTCTCTTTATCTTGCGATCGCTCATGCTGACATTGCTCTCCTCAACCTCGTCTGCAACGCCGCACCATGATCCTTGAACCGCCGCAGCCCTTCGAGCAGCTCATCGAGCCGTACGAGCCCTTCGAGCCCCACGACCTGCACCGGTGGCCGTCCCGCCGTCTCAAGGCCTCCCCCCGTGTCTGCAAGCTCAAGCTCATCGTGACTCCCACCATGGACAAGATGGACGCGATCCACCCGGACCCGACTCCGGCGCCCCCGCCCTCCCTCGCCGACATCCGGGAGCAGGTCGCCCGCCTCGAGTCGATGCACCGTGCGCGCGGCATGCCCCTGTCCGGCCGCATCATCCATGTGTGCCACCACCTCCCCGTCGAGATCATCAAGCTCGGCACCGCCGAGGCCTCGGACCCCACCCCGAGCCTCCTCTCCCCCATCACTCCCGAGTTCAAGCCCGAGGACACGGCGACGATCAAGAGCCGTGACTCGAAATGGAAGATCCACGCCCGGAGGGGCCACACGGCCATGATCTCGGGCATGCGCTCGCTGTCCGACACGCACCGCCAGGTCGTCGTCGGGTGGACGGGCGACATTCTCTACAAGCCCGCGAACCCCGAGGCGCCCGCCCCCGAGACGCCAACGCCGCACCCGCACCAGGAGAAGATGCTGCTCGCGGACCAGGTGGAGCTGCACCCGCTCATTAAGGACGACTCGGATGCGCACCTGATGGTCTACAACAACGAGATCACGCCGGACGAGCAGGAGGACATTGAGGGCGAGCTGCGGCGCATCGTCGAGGTCGAGGACCGCGAGGGCGAGGGCGCGCTCGCCTACGTCCCCGTCTTCCTCCCGCCCGATGTGTCCAAGGGCCACTACGAGGGCTACTGCAAGACGACGCTGTGGCCGCTGTTCCACTACCTGCTGTGGCTCGACTCGACGGCGACGGTTCCCTCGCCCGACCCCTCGTGGAGCGCCTACGTCAAGGCGAACGAGCTGTTCGCCTCGCGGGTTGCGCAGGTCTGGCGCCCCGGAGACCTCATCATCGTGCACGACTACCACCTGCTGCTCACGCCCAAGATGATCCGTGAGAAGCTCGGCCACCAGCTCGGTTCGAACGGTTCCTGGAACACGATCATCAACACGAGCCCGTCCGCCGTGGGCATGCAGCTCGAGAACTCGGCCAACTCGAACTCTAGCCGGGTCGCGGGCCTGCTCGGTAACGTCAACACGTCCCTGGGGCAGCACCTCCAGGCGTCAACCGACCCGCACGCGGCCGACCCCATGATTGCGCTCTTCATGCACACGCCGTGGCCGAGTTCGGAAATCTTCCGTTGTCTCCCGAAGCGCCGCGAGATCCTCGACGGCATGCTCGGCGCCAACCTCGTGCTGTTCCAGACCTACTCGTACTCGCGCCACTTTGTGTCGTCGTGCATCCGCGTGTGCGGGTACGAGTCGACGTCGAACGGCGTCGAGGTCAACGGGCAGACGGTCGCCGTGTCGCACTGCCCGATTGGCATCGACGTGCAGCGCGTGTCGCACGACCGCGACAGCCCCGGCGTGCTGCCCAAGAGCGAGTCGCTGCGCTCGCTCTACTACGACAAGAAGATTATCGTCGGGCGCGAGAAGCTCGACGCGCCCAAGGGCGTGTACAACAAGCTGCAGGCGTTTGAAAAATTCCTCCAGGTCTACCCCGAGTGGCGCGGTAAGGTCGTGCTGATCCAGGTGACGACGCCGGCGCTGAGCGAGTCGCCCAAGCTCGAGCGCATGGTGGCCGAGCTCGTGTCGCACATCAACGGCACGTACGGCTCGCTCGACTTTACTCCCGTGCACCACTACCACCAGGCGATCGAGCGGGACGAGTACTTTGGCCTGCTGAGTGTGGCGGACCTGGCGCTGATCACGTCTCTGCGCGACGGCATGAACACGACGTCGATGGAGTTCATCCTGTGCCAGGAGAAGACGAACAAGTCGCCCATCGTCCTGTCCGAGTTCATGGGCACGAGCGCCGCGTTTGGCGAGGCGCTCATGGTGAACCCGCACGACCTGCTCGGCGTCGCCGAAGCGATCAACCACGGCCTCAGCATGAGCCACGAGGAGAAGGAGCGGCGGCACGCGTCGCTGTACAAGTCTGTCGTGGGGCACACGTCGCACACGTGGGCCGCCACCATCGTCAAGCTGCTGCTCGAGAACGTCGGCAACGAGCACACGGCGCACGAGACGCCCGTGCTCGACGCGCTCGGCATGTTGCGCGCCTACAGGCCGGCGAAGAAGCGCCTGATGCTCTTCGACTATGACGGAACCCTCACGCCGATTGTCAAGGTGCCGTCGCAGGCGATCCCGACCGAGCGTACGCGTGCGGCCATTACCGCGCTCGCGGCGGACCCCCGCAACGTCGTCTACCTCATCAGCGGGCGCGACGGCGACTTCCTCGAGGAGCACTGGGGCATGGTGCCGAATCTGGGCATGAGCGCCGAACACGGGTGTTTCGTTAAGACGCCCGAATCGGGTGAGTGGCACAACATGACCGAGACGCTCGACATGAGCTGGATGTCCGAGGTCGAGGACATCTTCCGGTACTACACTGAGCGCACGACGGGGAGCACGATCGAGCTCAAGAAGGCGAGCATCACGTGGCACTACCGGAATGCGGACCCGGCCTTTGGCGAGTTCCAGTGCAAGCAGGCGCTGGACCTGCTCGAGTCGTCGCTCGCACCGAGGCGGCCCATCGAGGTGCTCGTCGGCAAGAAGAACCTCGAGGTCCGGCCCCTGGCCGTGAACAAGGGCGAGATAGTCAAGCGGCTCGTGTACGAGAACCCGGACGCGGAATTCGTCTTTTGTGCCGGCGACGACAAGACGGACGAGGACATGTTCCGGTCCCTGCGCACCATCTTCCCGCCCGGCGGGCCGCGCGACGGCGAGCCCGTCGTTATGAAGCCACCCGTCGGCATCACATCCACCATGGAGCCGGACGAGGCCGACCTGCTCCCCGACGTCGAGATCAAGATCCGCCCCGACAGCGTGTTCACGACGACGGTCGGGCCGCCAGCCAAGAAGACGCTCGCGAGCTGGCACGTCACGTGTCCCGACGAGGTGGTGGACGCGCTCGAGTTTCTGCTCGACGGGAGGGACATCAAGGAGCTGAGGCTGGGGGATGAGTCGAAGCTCTAAGGCGAGCGAGCGAAGCGAGCGAGCAGCGAGCGCTTGGTATGCTCGGAGCATGCGACTGGTAAAGTGACCGGACGATCCTGACGTCACGATCGCCAGCCGTTAACCGCCAAGCAGGACCGAGCAACCGAGCGAGACGATGACCGAGGAGAGTTGTATGAGGACGAGTTCATATCTTACGATAGGAAGACGAAGTGTAGATTGCCTCCAGGACTGTTTAGACAGCTATAGAGTGTGATGCAACGGACCATGGGATCGTAAAGCGTGGCATGGGTGTACAACGTAACAAGATGCGGGTGGTATATGCTACAAGAGGTCGTCTTCAAGCTCAGACTATAAGCCCTTCGCGCTAGGCTCAAAGCCGAAATCATAAATTCTTTGCTCAAAGTCGCGGAACTGGTCCATATTCTTCCACTCGACGTCCTCAATCGGGCTCGCGTCCCAGTCGACCTCTCCCGCATCCTCGTTCTGCGGCTCGGGCGGGAGCTCGGACTCGGGCGTGCCGGCCTGTCGCAGCCTTTCGACCTCTGCAGCCCAACGCGCCTTCTCGGCCTCGTACTCCTTCTGCCTCAGCGACTTGGCCGCGCGGTCCGCCTCGATCGTGGCGGGCGAGCGGGGGGCGCGGGATTCCAAGCCTATGCAGAAGGCCGAATTGGAGCCGCCGTGCACGAAGGCCTTGGCGCCTCTCTCCCTCGCCGCGCGCCGGCGCGTCCGCTCTGGCGCCGGAGCCCGTGCGGTGCCATAGTCGTCGGCGTCGGCGAGCATGTCGCAGTCGATGTCGCCCCAGCGGTCGTCCTCCTTCTTCTCCGGCTCGGTGGCTGGCATGCCCTCGCGCGTCTCTCCGTCCTTGGCGGGCCACGAGTCAAACAGGGGCATCTGCTTCTGGCGTCCCCAGGAGAAACCCCGCCCAACGCCCGAGGGCACATGCTTCAGGAGATTGTAGTGCACGAAAGCCGGCATGCCCCACGGGTCGCTCTGGACCATGCTCAGCCCACACCATCCCGTGAGCGTGTCGCCTGGCAGGCCGCCGGCCGCGATCCACCGCTCCGGGACGGCCCACCGCTTACGCAGCATAAGCATGGCGAAGCGGAACAGGTCCTTGTCCCCGTCACTGAAGCGGAACCACGTCTCGTGCCGCCGCATCATGTACGCGAGCAGGTGGAAGACATCGAGGTGCCGCGCCTTGTCGACGAGCACCTGGCCCGTCTCCACCTCCCACTCGTCCCGGCACGCGACGCCCATGACGGCCCAGAGCGGGTTCACAGCCGACGTCTTCCAGTAGTCGGGCGTGAGGTAGAAGCCCAGCCGCTTGTAACTCGGCGCGTCGAACATGTACGCGGGGTCGACGGCGGGCACGCTGTCGCTGTCGAGGTACAGGACGTGCTGGAAGGGGCTCTGGATGACGGCAAGCGCCTTCAGGTGGTACGACTTGCCCTCGGGCTTCTTCTTCTCGCCCGCTATGGGGCGGATAATCGCGTCCATCTCGGCGAGCTCGCGGCGGGGCGCGTCGTCCTCCCCCGGCGCCTCTTCGGGGAAACAGGCGATTTCGACGGGGAGAGAACAGCCAGAGGAACGCAGCATCTGCACCGCCCACTTGGTGCGGAGGAGCGTGTCCGCGTTGCCGGCGACGAAGACGATGCCCGTCCCGTTGCCCGTGTTGCGCAGCTCGGGGCCGTCAATCAGCCCCTCCATGTACGTGATGAGTTCCTCGCGCAGGGCGTGGAGCGACTCGCGCGTCGTGCTGCCCCACGTGTTCGCAAACGTCTTGACCATGTGCTCGTTCGTCTGCCGCGCAATGTTGCTGCACCGCTCCAGAGACCACTGCACAAACTGCCCCGGCTCGACGTCGTCCCCGCCCCTCCCGCCTGGCGCGGCGCGCCACACGTCCAGCCGCTCGCGAAGCGTTGCGTTGACGGGGAGCGGGTCCGAGGCAATGTCGATCGCGCGCCGCGAGGGGCCGCCGTAGAAAGGCGAGTGCACGTGTCGCCCCGTGTCGAGGGGAGCGTCAATGTCCTCGTCGGTGTAGAGCGGCGGACGGCCCTGCTTGCTGCCCGAATGCGAGTGGGGCGTGTCGCTGAGGCTCGGGAGGTCGGGGCGGCGGAACTTGACCTGCGTGTCAGCAACCATGATCGTAATTACGGGCTTATCGGCGCCAAGCACAATGGAAATTGTCTGTGTTGTCTGCGCCGCTGCGCCCCGCCGATCGGCCCGGCCTAGTCCTTGCAGACGCTGCGCAATGCGTGGAAGGGAGACTTACGCGGTCACTCCTATGCAGCAACAGCAACGCGCCGACGATCAGTGTACCGAGGAGCATGAGGCGGCGCGACCCCGTTCGGCCGGCGAAGAAGCCGCGCGCGGGGGCGCGTTCACGCTCATATCGCGGCCCCGACCCTGAGGAGGAGGCCGACTCGAGGTCATAGTCTGCGAAGAAGCGCCTGATGCTCTTCGACTATGACGGAACCCTCACGCCGATTGTCAAGGTGCCGTCGCAGGCGATCCCGACCGAGCGTACGCGTGCGGCCATTACCGCGCTCGCGGCGGACCCCCGCAACGTCGTCTACCTCATCAGCGGGCGCGACGGCGACTTCCTCGAGGAGCACTGGGGCATGGTGCCGAATCTGGGCATGAGCGCCGAACACGGGTGTTTCGTTAAGCCCCCCGTGTTCGGCGCTCA